CTTTTCTGAATTGCGGTGTTATGATTTTTCACAGGTGAATCGTATTGAAACTCACTGTAATACATTATGTCCATGAGTCTGACAAAGTTGTAAGCCTGTAAGGTATATATACAGTAATCTTTGCCTGCCCGTAAGAGCCGTGTAGGCTAACAACACATCACAAAAATCATCAGAAACCAAAACCAGAAAAAAGAGGTATTGAAATATTCAAATTCAATTATTCAACAAAACTCGACTAAAAGTAGCAAAATTGCAATAAATGTCGTGATAGTGATATTGTTTTATACCAGAATCCCTCTAATACCAAATAACTTTTCTTTCAGTTTTAAGTAAAGTAAAGTTGCAGCCTATTTACGTCCCACTGCTGGGCACAGGCCTCCTCTCATTTCTGAGAGGGTTTTAGGGCAAGGAAATGTCCACCGCGCTGCCCCAATACGTGTTGGCGAACTTCACATGTCATCGAAATATTTTTTTTTTATTTCTCAGACATGCAGGTTTCCTCACGATGTTTTCCTTCACCGCCGAGCACGTGGTAAATCAGCACTTAAAATTGCAATTAACAATTTCATTGGTGCCGGCGGGGATCGAACCCGGGTTGCTCGAGTACTGTGAAGCTTACAGCGAGCGCTAACCATCTGAGCTACCACGGCTCAGGCTTCAGTTTTAAGATAGGGATAATAACATCGATGTTGGCATCGCTAGCTCAACATCGATGTTCGATGTTTAGGCTACTCAAAACATCAATGTTGACCATTATCGATGGTTTTTGTATATGTGTATATACTTACACATTGTTTCAAAATTATGTGGGTATACACAGCAAGGGAAAAGTAACAATTAACTTGAATATCAATTTACGTAGAATAGTTATTATGCGACAACCGACAACGACACTACAAAATAAAGCGAAAGCAGTGACCATTGTGACATTACAGGAGACACTTGACAATTAAGTTTGACTCACCATACTGACATTTTTTTAGATTAACGATGCGTTCAGAAATTCTGAATTATTCAAAATTTTTAATCTTCAGAGCAGATGCAAGATTTAGTTGATATTAATTTCGCGAGTTCGCATTGTTTGCAAGTTCCCAATTATCGATTATGGGTTCATTGACGTCGATGTTTCGATGTTTGACATATGTCAACATCGATGTTAAAACATCGAAGTTTTAATTTTTAACATCGATGATCATCTAACATCCCTATTTTAAGTGTGTTTCCCACTCAGCGTGTGTTATGCGACGATCGTAAATAAAGCGCAAGGTCAAACTTTACGCGTCAGTACTGATTGTTTTGCACATGGCCAGCTCTATGTTGCTTTTTCTCGCGTTAGTAGTCCCCGTAACCTTTTTCTGTACGCCCCGGCTAAGTCTACTTCTATCGTCGTTTACACAGAAGCTCTATCATAAACGACTTAGAACTTTGAGAATATCGATTTATTTTGTTACCTACAGTATTACAGTTACAGTACCTACAGTATTACAGTTACTACAGTAATGATATAAATCGTTTAATATTCTCTTACCCTAAACGTCAAATTCTTTAAGTAAAACCTATATTCGCGAGCTACGCCGCGGGCACAGCTAGTAATTAATAAAATTAAATCCAAACCCAAGCATACTGCTGCAAGACTTCAAGATACTGTAAGCTCATTCTGCGTAGATCGGACCAAAAATTAATATTCAAAAACTGAAGGTAGCCGGGCTATGACATCGGGACGTCAAACACCTCAGGCCCCCCGTGACCATGGGTTAAAAAGTTAAATTAAACGCGATAAAATCCGTAAAAATTAGTTTCATTTAATTCTCTATTCTTCGTTAAACTTATCCAAAATAACAATTTATGCTGACAAAAGATTGACAGCCACTGGAAACTACAATGGAAAAGTAGTTCGATAGTCCATTAATTCGTAATTAATCCTGTGGGTATTTCTGAAAAAAAAAAGAAAACAAAAAGAATAGCTGGCTAATCCTGACCAAAGAGAATATAACCACTACGTTTAATCCTGACCTATATAATAAAGCTTTAAATACGATTATCTATACAAATAAATAAAATTGAAGTGTCTGTTTCTAATGTCAAAATAGCATTTTACTAAACCCATAAGCCGGGGCCGGCCATATAGCTCGAAGAACCGACAACCGATGGGGAAGAAAGGTTCTCGAGTGGAAGCCTCGTACCGGTAGGCGAAGTGTAGGGCGTCCCCCCACGAGATGGAGTGACGACCTGGTAAGACATGCAGGAAGTCGATGGATGCAGGTGGCTCAGGACCGTGCTTTGTGGCATTCTTTGGGGGAGGCCTATGTTCAGCAGTGGACTTGTGAAGGGCTGTAATGAATGAAAAAATGAATGAAACCCATAAGAAAGCATGTACGGCACTTATAACAAAATTACAATTTTTAAAATTTTTGTCTGTCTGTCTGTTTGTTTTAGCTAATCTCCGAAACGGCTGGACCTATTTCGACGGGACTTTCACTGGCAGATAGCTGATGTTATAAGGAGTAACTTAGGCTACTTATATTTTAGAAAAAGTATTAGGGTTCCGCGCAACATAATTAAAACGCTAAATATCACGCGGGCGAAGTCGCGGGGAACAGCTAGTCTATAATCAAAGAATCATTTAGATTACTTAGCAAGTTCCTAAGATAATGAACGCGGGGTGGTTACGAAAAACCGAAAATAGTTGAAAAAAAGCTTTTTTCCACCGAAAAGTTATCTTTACACGCGCGCTATTGAGACTAGCTACCTGAGACGATTGAAGTATAATGTTAGATATATAAATGTCTAGAATAATGTTACCACAGCAAAAACTATTGCCTAGTTAAGTCGTAATTTGTAAATATCGGAATTCGCCCCTTTTCGTAACAACCCCAAAGCACATTACCTACTCCTTTTTGAAGTCGGTAGAAAAACAGGAAAAATTACGTTATTTCATAAAAAACGACAATTTCATAGGTAAATACCTAATATTCCTACTTTAGAAATATCTGTAGTTTGGTTTATGCAATTCTAATCTAATTGATGTTTGAAAATATAACTAATATTATACAAAGATGCATTAAACCTTTCTTTTTCCCACCAAATTAACTTCACTGCTACGAAATCTGCCAAATATCACCTCATTATAAAGTGGTGCAGCCCTGGTAGAAAAAAAGTCGTGGATGCCTTCACTCGCACAAAACTTTCCCAATAGCACTGAAGATCAGAATCAGAAGAAGGATCTAAATGGTGGTTTGACAATCATTTACGTGGTAGAGCCATGCTGCTGCTATATTAGTAGTATAGTTTTAGCACGAATGGGTTGGCTCGACCCAGGAAGGACCATGCTCTCACAGAATACCAGCATAAAATAGCAGCTTAACACTGCTGTGTTTCGTATGGTGAGTGTAGAGAACCGGATACCCTTTTTACTGGAAAAGAGGCATTCCCTCTTAGTCCTCACGGGTGACAATGCATCTGCATTTTGAGTCTTTATTGAGGATAGATATAGATGTCTACGGGTCAGAGTAACCACTTACCATCAGGTGGACTGTGTGCTCGTTTGTCACCCTATCTTATAAAAAAAAAAACTTTCCCAACGAAGTCTCTTTCCCCAATGGTATTATGATACGAGTGGAATTTTACATGAATACACAATAGTACTTAACTAAATAAACCTTTATATTTTAAGTCTCAACATTTCCTTCTAAACAAAGAAAAATACGAAACAGAACGCAGTACTTTAATTTTTCTAATACTAATTGAAATAATTTGCATTATAATATTTATACCAAGATTTTAATAAAACAAGTAATTACATCAAATCGCCAAATAATCTACAATGGTATTTTAATAACTTGTCTATTAATAATGTAAGATAACAAATTTAAAGCGAAAGATCTACATATTTTTGGAACTAATTGAAAACAATGATTTTAGATAAACAGTACCTACTCTTAAATTGAGAGAGACTAGCTTTTATGGACTTAAAACAAACCTTGCATTTGGCTTTTTTTTGAATAAAAAAGTAAAGTGAACTAAAATTCCTCTGTGTAAGTAATGCTATGTCAAAAGAAGAATTACCATCAAAAAGTTTAAATTTTTTTCGATCTTTGAATAATAAGGGTTGATTTCTTACGCTCACCAGATGTCGCTACTTGAGACTAAGATGAACCTATTTGTCATTATCATTGAAAAGTGCGATTTAATGTGCAGTGTATGTTTATACACAAAACAATGCCCCAAAAGTAAAAAATGTGTACACCATGTATTCTTTTGTACACATTTTTAACATTATTTAATCTTTCACTTTTAGAAATATCCGTAGTTTGGTTTATCCATTTCTAATATAATTAATATAAAATATAACCACTATTTCAGAAAGAAACATTAATCTCTGCACTTTTCTAATAAATTAACTTTCCCCCACAATGAAATCTGTCTAATATTTCACCTTATTCCTAAGCAGCGCCGCTGTTGTGGCAGAAAAACCTCAAATGCCCTCATGAGATTAAAATCTATTTTATTACATTGCTAGATTCTCCAATTTGAAACTTCACAAGCCTACCTTGTATTTTTAGACCACATATAGTAGTATATTTTCAGTATTAGATATCATAAAACCTATATGTGGGCGTCTTTTCTATAGTTTTCTTTTAGCATTTTTACCATATATATAACATGATAAGTCACAAAATCTAACAAAAATACAAGATAGCAGTATGCAGCTTTAAACTGGACAATCTCTACATAATGTTTTGAATAAAAATTGTCATATAAATTTTTTTGAGAACATAATAAATTTATGCCAATGCTATAAGATTATAAATTATAGCAAATTATAGCATTTTCATAAAATTATAACAATTCCACAAATAAATTGCTTTAAAGTTTGGATTAGATACCACATTCTGTGACAGGACAGGTAGCCCTTCCTTGTAATACTATTTTATAAGATAAACAGTTAATAGTTGTAACTACAAACACAAAATATTTATTGGTAAGTCTTGATAAAGAATTCACTGCTGTGGCCCGCTTATCTTCTTCCAGACTTCATCATTCTTCTGCATTTCTTGGGAAGCGCCATCACCAATCACACATTTCCCAGCCCATTTCTCTGGTGCTAGATACTTTTGGCACACCTCTATTAAATCTTCCTTTTTCACAGCCAACACTCTCTCCCTTTGTGCCTGCCAAATATCAAATGATAATCCATAGAGGAATAAATCTATGCCTTTCATGTATTCAGCTATTGGTTGATCCATTTGTTGCAATATTGAGAGCTTAGCTTCAAATAGATTTTGGTCATCAATAAGACTTGTGTTCTTTGCCAACCAATCAGATGTCCCATCAAACACATCCAATGTTTTTCGAGAATTGGGATCCCTATATGAATAATAATTAAAAACTCCATCTATGGTTAATGCTGCACCACCTCCATATGCTCCGTTTTGTTCCCTCACAATAGGATGAAGGTATTTAGAGGTTAAGAACTTTGATAACACACGCAATTTTGGATAATCTGGGTCAGTGTAAGACACGGTTTGAATTGCTTTTGCACAGAAATTTATTGGTATATTCATAGCAATATGAATTCCATGGTTCTCTTGTGGCATTTGTTTGGACTCTACCCAATTGATACGATTTACATCTTTGTTTTCCTCAACCGTGCACAAGCTTGTGCAAAATTTATCAATACATTCTAAGACATTTTCGTTTGTGTTACAATAATGGAATGCTGTTCTTAAATTACATCCCGTGAGTATCAGTTTAGCAATCTCATCAACTATTTTTTGTATTTCATTAATTGTGTATTGTTTTTGAATGCCTTGCATATTTATCACATGGTGTAATCCTAAAAGACTCTCTTTGCATTCATCAACGGAGGAAATCAAGGATCGGGCAGCTTGCATAGCATATGTGTGGCCATTATCTATGACTCCACCAGTTAGGGATGAGCAGTAATTATTTAAAAGCATGGTCATTCTTTCCTCATTTGAAAAATTTGGTTTGTTGAAGATCTCTGACCATATATCCAGCATTTTAGGCACATTTTCATCGAGACAATGGCTACTAAACAGCACTCCCTGCTCATATTGCCCATGCTGATCAATATGTTCTGTGATATGAGTAAGGAAACTCAGTCCTGAGGTGCTTTTGCTTACATATTTATCAAAATCTCTAAAATTGTATGACTTTGTATCAAACTTATCAATGACATAGTTGAAAAATGGCAACAAATTCCTCTGCTTCTCATTTAAAGTTTCTGATCCAAGTATTCCCTTAAAATAGGTCACCCCATTTGTATTTGCTTCACATAATTGTACTGGTATAGTTCCAGAAACTGTATGTTTTAGCTGAGGTGCAGTTTTGGTGTGGGTTATCTCCTCAATTTTCAAACATGGTAATACATCAATATTCTGTGCTTCCTTTTGTGCTCTAGATAATTCTAAACCATCATCGTAAACTTGGTTTCTCTCGTCCTCAGATAATGCCTCCACTTTTTTCTTTAGCAACCTCTGTTCTGCCTCATTAAAGTTATCATCAAACTTGGGATCAGGCTGCATGGTCATAATCAATTTATGTTTGTTACTTAAAAAGTAACTTTCTATGACATTCTTTATGTAAGTTTGATTTTTCAAGTCTACTTTTAGTTTGTCAAGTAATTGATTAACCTTTAAAGCATTCAAAATTGGACCATTATGGTTCCATAGTGGCATTAGGTTAAACAGCAAATTAAGTCCGAATTTAGGTGACTGATGCTTTATAGCTAATTCATATCCATGCAATACGCTTTCAATATGGTCCTTTTCAAATCCTTTTGTGAAAATTTGTTCAATTGTCTGATTAGTAATCTTTTCAATCAAATTAAAATTTGATTGCTCAACATCTCTTAAACCAACTACAAAGAGAGTATCTCTGATCTGGTTATCATAACCAGTCAAAGAATTGTAGCCTCCAGATATATTCTTCTCAATAAGGCTTTTGTAGAAAGCTGAATTAGGTCCAATTATCATTAGCTCAGTAAGTGCATTGAGCATGAATGTCTCATAAATGTTTGTTATATCAGACATTACATAACCAATTGCAATTTGGTTTTGTTTTTCTACAGGTCCACCATACTGATCAACTCTACATGCAATTGTTGACCGTTTCTCTGCTTTCCACCTCTCTTGTGGTGCCACTATAGTATTCTTGGGATCAAGGTACTGATACTCACTCAAATATGCTTCATTCAAAAATTTTAGATTGGCTTCAAGAGGAAAGTTTCCATATGAATAAATTCTAGCATTACTAGGGTGATAATGAGTTGCATGGAATTTCTTCAAATGCTCATGTGTTAAGTGAGGAATACATAATGGATCTCCACCAGAAACATAACCATAGGTTCCCTGTGGTAGAATAGTGTTTATGAATTTTTGACCAAAGAGGGAACTGGTTTCTGAAAAGGCACCCTTCATTTCATTGTAGACTACACCTTTGAAAATCATTTCAGATGACTTATCTTCTAATTTAGAGTGTTCTAACCTCCAACCTTCCTGTAGAAAATCAACTCTGGATAAATTTGGTTTAAAAACTGCATCTAGATACACTTTTTGCAGGTTCCTATAATCAATCTCATTTTGTGACGAAAACGGGTAGAATGTGTAATCAGGACCGGTTAATGCATTCATAAATGTTGCCAATGACCTATTAAGCATTTTGAAAAAGGGATCTCTCACTGGGTATTTTTCTGAACCACACAGAACAGTATGCTCTAATATGTGTGGAGTGCCCATTGAATCAAGTGGTGTAGTCCGGAAACCAACTGAGAACACATTGTTGGAGTCATCTCTTTCTAAATGCAGATATTCAGTCTTTGTTTTTTCATGTGTGAGAAAATATGCTGTCATATTATACTCCTTTATGTATTGTACTTCAGAGCAAAGGAAGCCATGTGAAATATTGCCAGGTTGTAAACTTTTCCCTACAGATTCTTTCTTCTTAAGTACATTGCCACTGGATCTTCGACTAGACCTTAAGAGGTGATTCTGCACAATTCCAAAATTGAGCCTCGAGTACATATTTGTTTTTATGTTTTTGTCCTGTAATATAACACACCACTCACTGTTTAAGCAAATCAAAACGCTAAGTAACTACGAAATTAATAAGCTATATTATGTGTAATTTGTATACATCATCGGTTGATTCGCGCAGATGTACAGATAGGACACTATATAATCGCATATGGAACTGTAAAACGCCCCATTTACATATTATTTGCAAAAAAAAATATTATTTATGTAAGTAACTTTAATAAATTATACCGGTCGGCGAAAAGAAAACAAAAGCAATATGTTATGTTATGATGCAATAATTCACTTACTTGACAAAATTAAATCCACATTGAACAAGTGAAGTAATTATTAAAAATATCTTTCCACAATAAACACATTAATGATCGTTCATAATCAATTAATTCCTCTCAGTCCCGTAATTTTGGAGACGGAGATTTGGTTTTTAATGAATTTCTAACTTCTACTTCTAACCCACAGAGTACTTTTTCTAACCTCTCCTCTCGTCAACAGCGGGACCAGATTTTATTGACAAAATTTACTAAAACAGAGCAGCAAAAATATACCAAATTATACTAAAAACCTTAGAGTATTTATATGCAAGTAGGCGTGTGTATCTCTTTACGGAAACGACTCACTGATACGAATCACTGAAGTGACACAAAAGATTGTTCAGTAACAACGTTTTAAATGTATCATTTGTATCTGGAACAGTGAAACATTACTTTGCTCTTTGCTCATTTCGCGCGACGCGTCGCTTGCGAGGCGACTGAGCCACGAGCGAAAGAGAGAGACTGAGACAATGATTACTTAACTATTGACTCACGAGTGAGCGGGCGAAATAATTATAATTCACACAAGTCAGGTAGAGATAACAAATAAGAAGTGTATCACTCAACTCGTACGGATTTTCGCTGACGTTATTCATGCACGTAAAAATTACCACTAAGGCGCTTATGTGTCAAATACTATACGGTCGTTTTTTGTATGTAACGTTTGCATTAACAAGTTGTCATTTTACGTTGATGCGGCACTTGTCAAATTGTTTATATTCATTAGCGCCTGTTTACGAAAACATGCTGAGTTATGTTTAGGATTTCTTTGCGTAGTGATTATTGTGACTTTACTTTCTTCCTTTTCATCATAAAGTTTAGAGTTATGATACTTTACGAGTAAATTCTGTGTACACAGACAATGCTGTTTTGTGTAAATGGACATTTTTGTAAATAATGAATTGACATAGTGACATTTTTGTTAAAGTATGAAGGAGAATCTATTTTATATACAATCTTATTACGGTACACAATAAATAATCTAAGCACTTATATTATTTAGGAATCGCTGCAATACATTGTGTAGGAATGCACAACGACGCCACATTCATAAATCAGTCGAAAACGGCGACACTGCCAAGGTTTGGAAATTTCTTCAATCACTTGGAGTTGGCAAAGCATATTCTAGCTCATTTCAGCATAATTTTGATATTGAACTCCTTAACCAACATTTTACTTCTTCTAGTACAATAGACAGCTCAGATAAAGAACGCACTCTGAATATTCTTTCTTCAACGCCAACTCCTAATTTCCCACCGTTTAAGTTCACTCCTTTCACTGACTGTGATGTTAAAAAGAACATATTGTCCATCTCGTCTAAAGCCGTGGGTGATGATAGTCTTAGTCGTAACATGATCTTACCAATCCTTGAATTTGTTACTCCCATTCTCACCCATATCCTGAATAAATCTATCTCTACGTCTAAATTCCCCGAAGCTTGGAAAAGCGCACAAGTAATTCCTCTCCCTAAGAAAGCCCAAGCCTCACATTTTACCGACTTTCGCCCAATTTCCATTCTTCCATTTCTATCTAAAGTCCTAGAGAAACTAGTTTTTCACCAATTATGTCAATATCTAGATAGAAATTCCCCTTTAAATCCTGTTCAATCCGGTTTCCGGTCGGGTCATAGTACGACTACAGCTCTGGTTAAAGTTACTGACGATATTCGACGAGGTATGGATAATAAACAGCTCACTGTGTTGGTATTATTAGATTTTAGCAATGCCTTCAATACCGTTGATTTTGATATCTTGTTGAGCCTGTTACGTTCCATTAACATATCTCCATCAGTGGTTGGATGGTTTCAAAGTTATCTTAGGGGCCGCCGGCAGCGTATTCGCGTTGAAGATAAATTTTCATCTTGGTGTGAACTACCAGCTGGAGTGCCTCAAGGTGGTGTGTTGTCTCCTTTACTCTTTGCTATCTTCATTAATTCGATCTGTCACAAAATTTCTTTTCTCTATCACATGTATGCAGACGATCTTCAAGTGTATACGCAGTCAACTCTTGAGAACCTGCCTACCGCTGTTTCTGCCATCAATGCTGACCTGGCGGCTATTAGCGAATGGAGTAAATACTATGGGCTTAAGGTTAATCCTTGTAAGTCGCAGGCCATTATTGTTGGTGGTGCTGGGATGATTTCAAGAGTTGACTGGAATAACTTTCCCTCGGTGGTATTGAATAGTGTTGTAATACCTTACAGTAGCACCGTTAAAAATCTTGGTATCCACTTCGATACTACTTTTACGTGGTCTCATCAATTGAAAGAAGTTAGCAGAAAGACTTTTGCTGCTATGGGTTTATTGCGGCGTTTACGTTCTTTCCTTCCCATTCCTACTAAAATTATGTTAGCACAATCTTTACTCCTCTCTATTCTCGATTATGCGGGCGCAAGCTATCTTGATGTAACTGAAGATCAACTAAACAAACTTGAGCGTATTCAAAATCTGGCTATTAGGTTCATATATGGCTTGCGCAAATATGACCATGTTTCCGAATTCCGTTTAAAGCTCAAGTGGTTACCCATTCGCCTTCGCCGGAACCTACAAATTGTTTCTCTTCTGTACTGTGTATTATTCGATCCAATGAATCCTAGTTATCTAAAGGAAAACTTTAAGTTTCTTGGTCATGACAGACCGGACAGAGTTCTACGGTCAGCCGGAGAACTTATACTCGCACCACATTCATATCGAACTAAATACTTTAAAAACTCCTTCACAGTTAAGGCCATCTGCTTATGGAATGATCTTCCTTCGCAAATTCGTCGTGCGAAAACACTAGAAAAGTTTAAGACTGACGTCAAAAATTACTACCTAACAGTGCATTAACTACTGGTCATCATTTGCGACATGTATTTTTTGTATCCTCTCTGTATTTTTTTATTTAATTTTTATGTATATTTGCCAACTTAATCTTATGTATGTCTATTATATTTTGAATGTATATATTAGTGTATTTTTTTTTAATTATGTATCAGTTTAGTTTATTTAGGTATTAGTATGTAAGTTTACTATAATATACACCACCTCCCACTGTCCAATAGAACAACTTTCTCCTAATCTTAAGGTTGTCTGGAAGAGATCGCTTATTAGCGATAAGACCGCCTTATTGTACCTACCTCTTAAGTTTTACTCGTTGTAATTTGTTCTTTTTTATCGTTTTTTTGTAGTGTACAATAAAGTATAAATAATAATTATTATTATTATTATTCAGCATTGTTGCCACATAACATTTCACGGATCAGTCAGTAATAAACGCTCGCGACGCAGCTTAATGTATTCGGAACATTCTTTCTTTTATATCTTTTGAGTCGATGATACAAATGAGCCAAATGAAACATATCAGTGTTTCGGAACATTTCAGTGATTAAGATGCAAATGTTCCAATCCCAAAAATGATACATTTTGCCCACCTCCACACTGAAGTATGTGATCATATTGTTTTTTTTTTTATAAGAGAGGTGGCAAACGAGCATGCGGCTCACCTGATGGTAAGTGACTACCGCCGCCCATGAACAACTGCAACACCAGGGAGGGAATTGCAGATGCGTTGCCGGCCTTTTAAAAAGGAGTATGCTCTTTTCTTGAAGGTCCCTAAGTCGTATCGGTCCGGAAAAATCGCTGATGGTAATCGATTCCACAAGGAAGTCGTGCGAGGAAGAAAACATCTTCTAGATCGCACAGTGGTGGACCGCCAATCATCCAGATGGTGTGGATGGTATCGGGAGTTCTGCCGCGATGTGCGTTCGTGAAATTTGGCGGCTGGGATTAATCCGAACAATTCCTCAGAGCACTCCCCATGGTAGATGCGAAAGAAAATGCAAAGGGATGCAACATCTCTTCGCAGTGCCAATGAATCGAGCCGATCGGAAAGGGCTCGGTCGTCGACGATTCGAGCCGCTCTGAGCTGGATTCGGTCAAGTGGAAGGAGCTGGCACTGGGGAGTCCCTGCCCAGAGATGGGAACAGTATTCCATGTGAGGCCGAACCTGCGCCTTGTAAAGTTGCGGCGGTGTGCCGGCATGAAATACTGTCCCGCTCTGCTGAGCACGCCAAGCTTTTTATAGGCCAATTTGGCCTTCTCTTCCAAGTGACCACGAAACTGCACGTCACTCGATATGTCGACTCCGAGGATACCGATGCTGACTGAGGCAAGAAGGGGAGTGCCTTGAAACTGAGGAGATACAACAAAGGGGTTCTTTTTAGCGGTAAACGCGCAAACTTGTGTCTTCTGAGGATTAGATTTAGTCGCCCCCAATCCGAGACTTTGTTCAGCAAAGACTCGACTTCAGACACAAGTTTGTTCCGGTACTCGGCGACGTTTTGGTTTATATTATATATAGATAAAGATGGAGATGATGTATCCGAGACGATGTATCTGAGACTTTCCGTGTGACCTTAACTAATTATATGTACATGTTTCTTATTATGTTACCGGAAATGCATGAAATTTAGGAATTATGTACAATTACTATGTATTCTATAAAATGACGGATTTCATAGATTTCATAATAATAAATTAAAAATTAGTAACACAATATATTCTTTTGGCAGACAATTTATCTTTATTTAGTTTTTGTTTCTCATTATTCTGATACTTTAATGACGTTTACAATAATTACGAATATTTTTTTTTAGATTTCCTAAAACAGTACTCTGAGAAATTTGTTGTTATCCAATGTACCATTGAAAATGAAGTATTATGATAGTGCGAGGATTTGTAATTTGCATTTTCAAGAATCAGATTATGGTTCAACAACAAGGCGCTTAAAACCAACAGCAGTTCCTACTGTTATAAGAAATCAAGAAACAGTATCATCAGACAAGGTAAAAATTTTATGTAATTTAATTATCTATTTTTCGTAATATATTACGTATTTAGAAATGTAGTAGTTTTGTATTTGTATTTGTACATTTTGTAAAATATGTTATCATTTGCAGACAACAAGTGCATGACATGAAGAGTCTATTGTTCAAATAGCTTTCTGGCTGTAACAAGCACTAGTTCTGGAATTAATAAAAGTAGTTCTGCACTTAAGGAAACAGGAGTGAAATGTACTGGCTGTAATATTGAAGACCAAACTAGTAAAAAACAATGTCGAAAAATTCTTGAAAATTTATGCAATCTGAACAAGTTACCTGTAAGTTAACTTTTCCTTTACTACCAAATACATACCTTTTTTTTGTATTTATCATGACTTTAATTTTACATAATGTAGTAGTAACATAGCTTAAAACACATACATGTTTAAACTCTTTAGTGCCAGTCGCAGTGTGGTAACCGTCACTACGACACTAAGCATGAAGCTTCTTGTTTGATGCTTCATTTATGCGTGCTCACGAAGTCGCGCTCCGGTGTATTATGTGTTGCCTATTAAGTGATGTAATTTTATACGGACATTATATCAGTCAGATTTGAAAATATTTTTTTGCATTTTTAAAACAAATTCCTCAGGAAGGCTAGCTACGACCCTAATGAGCGGAGCAATACTATGTACGATGCTAAAAATACTGATTTCATAAAGTTTTCTTGTTTTTTTAGGTCAGCAGTGAATACGAAATATATACGTGCAAGTGAAAATAAAGTGTACTAAAGAAGAAATCCTTGAGACGAAAACTAAGATTCTTAAGCAAAAAGTGGCGCGCCAAACTAAAAAAAATCAGGGTAGGTCTTCTTTAATGGCAACTATTAAAAAGTATACGGGTCAGTCAGAAATTGAGAATATTTATTCAAGGGTGCATTGCTTATATCTGTAAGGACTTCAAATAGCCACAGAGGTATCCACATGATGTGTAAAATTTCAATAAATAATTTTAATATGGAAAGTATTTTTATTTATTTTTTAAGGTTTTTTATATATTATCGTTCCTGTTATAGTACATATGTTACTAGAAATCTATGAAATCCGTTTTTATATAGAATTCCTAGGAATTGTAGATAATTCATAGAATGAACAGGATGTGTGGAATATAGTATTATAGACATTTTAGCTCAGAGCAGCCTGACTCGGATGGGTTAGCTCAGAAGGCTAAGGCAGGAGCTCCGCTATGCTCCTTTAGTCCTCGTGATATTTTTCTAAAATAATTGTCCAGAAATAGATTTAGTCTGTCTGAACAATAAATCAGGTATATATTGCCCAATTCATTGATCACCCGGGGTGTTATAATAAATTTTAATTTTATATTTCGTTGGTACCGTTTAGGTATTATATACAATAACCAGAAAATACATTATTGAAATAGTAGTAATAAAATATTTTCTGATATATTTATTTTCCACATTTTCTAAATAGGCTCGGCATTAGCGGAAAACCGCTTTCAAAAATTAAAATGGAGAAGAGCAGAAGATGGTCGAAGCATCAGAACGATTACCCCGATACTGGCTGCCCCATATCATCGAACAGCCGCGTTTCGTGGCAGTTTTAGATACATGGCCACTAAATGTTGGAACAATATACCACCACCTATACCGGAAACTAAATCTGTAAGCAGTATTAAAGCTAAATTAAAAATACACCTTTTAGCATCTCAAAAATCATTATTTCACGTGTAGTGGCAGGTTATTTCATAGATACGATTTAGCAAACATATCATAGGGATAGTTAATGTGTATATAATATATAATAAAATATATTATACATTTTTTTTGTGTGTGAGTGTGTATGTACCTTTACGTATGTGTTTTTTTAAGTTATATTTAATATACACACATACACACAAACATATGTGTGTATATAAATATATATATATATATGTGTGCATATATATATATATATATATATATATATATATATGTGTGTGTATGTTTAATTTTAATATAATATACAATACATTTATGTATATACTTGGAAATATTTACTTTGAGTGAATGGTAGATTCATTATTTTTCGTTTATGTTGTTACCAATATAGTCGCGGGCGCAATACGGAATCAATATTTATCAGGGCTCCGCTGAAAATCAGCGCTGCTGCAGTATCTGTGGTAGCATATGCTGAGACGGAATCCTTTTGGCATAAATTATTTAAGTCAATTAAATGAAATTTATAATTATTACAATTATATGTCAGTTTTACATTATTATTGCATATTAAATTATTCATTTGGATATTTAAGTCATGTCTTAATTTATTTTCTTGTGGCAGACCCCATAAGTAAGGCAATGTAAATAAAACAATTTTGAGATATTATCGCCAACTGTCTGCTGGGTCAAGTTGCTGTCAAAATCTCCCAAAAACTACGCAGTGTGCCGCATCAACATATTGTGAAGCAGTGTACTATACTATAAAGGATTATTACGACATGATGAAAATCTAAAAAAACGAAGATCCCGAATGAAGACGTGGCTTAAAATACTAGCATCTAAGTCTAACATTATTATAAAAGAAGATTATTTGTCTATTTGAAAAAGAAGTTTTGACATGACACATGATAACCTGACATTGACAGTGACAAATGTCCTTTTTGTACGCAGATCTGCACGTGTTTACGTGTGGAATCTGCGAGTAGTTGTTTATAATTAACGTCTCAACAAAATAAACCAAAATGAGTTTGTACAACTTTAAGAAGATTGCTGTGGTTCCCACTGCTAAGGTATATTAAAAAGATGCATTACCCTAATACAAATTAATTTATCAATAACATAACCTATAATCATTGATTGTTTTACTTGCTTTCTCAGGATTTTATCGATATCATTCTATCGAAAACGCAAAGAAAAACGCCAACAGTTGTACACAAGCACTATAAAATAACTCGTATACGTGCCTTCTATATACGAAAAGTGAAATTTACACAGCAAAATTTTCATGATCGATTGTCAAGGATTATTCAGGTATGTCCTTTAAATTGTTCAGTGTTAATGTTCTATTCTCTTTTTATAGCTGTCTTTTTCGTCTCTAAAGATTATATTAATATATTAGCATGCATGTGGGTAATTACAATATATGTTTTGCACCATTGAGGCTGTTTCGATTTGAAGTATCTTAACCTCTCAGACCTTGACATTTTATTGGACATATTTAGTTAGAACTATGGTCAAGCCAAAGAGTATAGTAGGTCAGGCCAGACGATTTTTTAAAAAAATGGTAAAAATAACTTAGAGTCATTACTATGTTCATATCCAAAAATAAAAAATTATCAACAATTAAAATATCGAATTATTTATATGAAGGTCAAGTGAGCGCTAGAGTGACGACGATTGCAAGACGATTTGTCGATAAATGAAATGTTTCGAGAAATTATCAATTACTGTGTAGTGGCGGTGTATGAATATTCATACTATTCCGTGGGTTTCGTAAGAGGCGACTGATCCACTGTTCAATACAACAAGGTACGTGTACCGTGGAACAGAACGTGGCAACTATGACAAGTATACCCTCTATGAGGAATATAGTGGAGGCCTATGTTCATTGGGGGTTTTTGTAGGATGTAACGGTCCATCACCAGCAGTGGAATGAAACTGTAAGGAGAGGGAGGGAATAATTTTATTATTTAAAAAAATATTTTTGTGGTTTTTTTTTATAGAAGAGGGGGCAAACGAGCATGCGGCTCACCTGATGGTAAGTGACTACCGCCGCCCATGAACAACCGCAACACCAGGGGGAATTGCAGATGCGTTGCCGGCCGTTTAGAAAGGTGTAAGCTCTTTTCTTGAAGGTCCCTAAGTCGTATCGGTCCGGAAAATCCGCCGGCGGTAAACAATTATGTGTAAAAAAGTCATCAAACAGCATCAAACAATTTATTAAACAAAAGTTGCGTAAACAAGTTCAATGGTTAAAACAATATTAAATAACAAAACCAAACAATTCTACTGAAAAGAAAAAAAAGTAAATATTATTTCACTTTTACAACTAAGGCAAATCTAACGAATCGCTATATTATGTTAAAATTCTATATATATACATATATATATATATATATATATATATATATATATATATATATATAATATGTTAAAATCGAATAAATATTATGAAGAAAGAAACAAGGACATAGAAACACTTGATTTTCATAAATAAAAGAAATATATAATATAATTATATCGATAAACTCAGTAGAAGCCTCAAAAAAAATTAAATCACAGGTATATACTTGTACATCCGTAAGATAGCGTAATAAAGTATATACTTTATTACGCTATCTTTGAGCAACGCCATTTTTCTAACGACTTCAAACAGGAGAAGGAAGTCGACTGTGTTTTTTTATGTGTGTTACCTCATAACCTTCTGGGTGAACTGATTTCGATGATTCTTTTTTTATTTGAAAGCTGGTGCTTCACATTCACATTTTTATTTTTAGTTATTGTTGAAAACTACTTCGCCATAATGTTCACTATATATCGAAATTATAACATAAAACGTAATTTTCGCGCATTGGACTTTGTGGGATATGAAAATTTGTGTTTATTACATGATTTATTGTGATAACTCACACTTTTTATTTACTTTTCAGTTAATTCTGGCTATTAAATATAGTGATACGTGAACGACACAGTATTTGAAATGGCAATTTTATAAAATATATGAAATTGTTACGAAGCAAAATATAAGGAATTAAATTTTAAAACAGTGTAATTACTTACCATTTGTATAAAAACGAACAAAAAACTTTCTATTGTACCCACTTAATTTTTTGTAAAATTTCTAGTTGCCTCTTACACTCACGCGGCGAAGGATATAAGACTAAAGTATGTGACGTAAACGCGACGCGAGGCGGAAACTCGTCATTTGAAGTAAATTCTGTTAATTTAAAGAAGCGTAATTTAATAACGAAACTAATTCTAATAAAATTTTAGTTTTATAGTTAATCTAAATAACATTTAAAAAATAATTGTTATGAGCACAATAACTATGGTTCTGACTAAACGTAGTGTAGTGATCATATACTCTTTGGTTCTGAGGGGTCCTTTCTAAATATTACCATACTCTTTGGAGCGTTCTACAAAGTTGACCTTGGATTGCCTCATGTGTACTTCAAAGGTTTGACAGATTAAGTCTGCCATATTCCATGTTTCTCTGGTCGTAGACTTAAAAATGAGAACATCCGCATTAGAACGAGAGTAATCGACATAGAAATTTAATTTATTGCACATTTTGCATTATATTACATAGTCAAATGTTTTCCAATATGTAACATGTGTGTTATTTACTCAATCGTTCATACTTTATTTTCCTACCTATTGCTCATATTGTTGTGATAATTAGTTATGTAAAAATAAATAAATGATGATAACAAAAAATATATATTTAATTACAAATTTGAACTGGCTAATATTAGGGAATCCATGGTATGTGCCCTAATGTAAATAGTTGTGATTAAACTATGTTAATTGTATGGGCAGGGATGCACACATGCTGTACTGTTCATATGTTAGGTGCTGGCAGAATAACAGCATTGTAGGCAACTGCAACATTTATGCTGTGCTAGAGCCCATTCATTACTGCACTATGTGTACTGCAATGGAGTTGAATAATTTGCCAGCATCTGTCTTTTCATTTAATTACTAATGTGGTTGTTTTCAAGGCTAAAGTGAATTAGGATTTGTGAAGCTAAGTTAGGTGTGCTTCACCATCTTTGGCTGCATCACCACATACATTACTGAGATAGTAGTTAAACACTGTCCACTTTCTGACTACAGGGTGTTACTAAAAATTTCTAGACAGAAAAACAAAAACTCATAACTGATTTTTATCACACAACCCGGGAGCTCATAGACAGCAGTTGCATTTAGGACCACTAGACCAACAGATAAATCACTATTTTTGCCTTCATAAGACATTCTATAAGTACATACCAATATCTAAACAGTAATTTACTGATAACAAATATTTTATTTCAGGAATTTCCAAAGTTAGATGATGTTCATCCATTTTATGCAGATCTTATGAATGTACTGTACGACAAAGATCACTACAAGCTTGGTCTCGGTCAACTTAATACGGCTCGACATCTTATTGATAAGTATGATCACATTTCATTCTTTGTTATCAACCTGCAAAGTCCACTTTTGGACATAGGCCTCTGTTGTAATGAGGATTTGTCATAGTTGTCACTCGTAGCAAATGCTTTTTGCTTTGCTTTTTACACCTTTGTTCCTTGAATAAAACTTTTTTTTACGGATTTTATTGTGTTTATTTTACTATTTTTATTCCCGACGTTTCGAGTGCTTTACTGCGACCCATGGTCTCTACCATGGACCCATGGGACTACCATGGACCCATGGGACTTCCATGGGTCGCCGTTAAGCACTCGAAATGTCGGGAATAAAAATAGTAAAACAAACGCGATAAAATCCATTAAAAACAGTTTTATTCAATGTGTAGTGTTCACGTAAATATAAGAAATCATTACCTTTGTTGCTGCTGCTTCTTCACTTGTCTCGATGTTTTACATCTGGCTTAAGTGCTAGCACTAACATAATGTATAGATTTCCAAAAATTAAGAAATACCAAAGTTAATAACAGAATTAGTACTGAAATGGTTGCTGACTCCACAAAAGCTGCAGTCAATAGCTACACAGCTGATTTTCAGGTCGTACCATAACTCTGGTATGTGTCAGTTTTGCGATTTACATGAGTTACTTAGAAAATTCAAATAAATGTATTTCATTTATAAGACAAACAATAACTAAGGCCTCCTCATAGGTTCTTGATATGGAGTATATTAACCATATTTGCTAAAATTTGCACGTAGGTTGGCAGCTGCAGTTTTTTATTATTCTGAGCTATGATCAGGAAGATGCTGCTGCCCATATTTAGCAGCAAAAAATATGCTGCTATATGGTGAAATGAATATATTATGATCAGTAATAACTCATTTATAAGCCCTAGATGTGACCAAAAAGCATGTCATCTTTTTGCAGCTCACTGTTTTATTCCTTAATTGTGTTAGAATTAAATGGATATTCATAATTTTAATTTAAATATTCGATATTTAAACTGAAGAATGTAACAACTTTCGTACTATATTAATCTGCTAAGCACAGACCCCTTTATTTCTAAGAGAGTTACGAAGTAAATAGGTCACTATATTTCAATTTTTTTTGCAAAGATGAAGAAAACATTGTGATGAAACTCACATTTGAGGAAATTTGCCTGTTAATATGAGCTGGAACATCGAAGCAAATTCATTGCTTCCTTTCATAATTGAGAAGAGGCCTGTGCCCAGCTGTGGGATATATAGTTCAGGCTTTAACTTAGGTTTTTCAAATTACCAAGTTTCAGAATATTTCCCCTCATTGCCAAGCGTGCAGTAAATCAACATTTAAAATTTGAGCATGCATATTATAGAATTTCAGATGACACCACACCCTGAGATACCATGGCTTTTCTTTTTTAAATACTAGCAAGGCTAATAATTATACTAATATTCCCTTCAACCACTCCTGGTAAACTTAAAACACTAAAAATGCTTGTGTGGAGTGTTTGAGTTCAAATCTCAGAGAGTTGAGTGGTGGATTTGAACCTACAACCTTTTGAATTTGTGGTCAGTATCCTACCATTAGGGCTACTGTTGCTTCTAAATTTATACTTATATTTCAACTATTTAATTCTAAAGTATTATTACAGTGTTGCAAAGGATTATGTGAGATTGCTTAAATATGGTGACTCCTTGTACCGTTGCAAGCAGCTTAAACGAGCCGCCCTGGGTCGGATGGCGACCATCATGAAACGTCAAGCTGCAAACCTTACATATCTTGAACAGGTATGTTACTACATTTCTTAAAAATGTACGTTTTTTTATAGAATAAGAGTGATAAACAAGCACCACCTAATGGTAAGGGAATGCTGTGACCCATAGACATGTACATCTTCCTTGATCAGGAATCAAAGTGTAGGTGTGATGTCACCTGTGAGGACTAAGATGGATGACAAATCTATTCTCTGATAGAACTGGTGTGAAGAAACCACAAAAAACTCACAAGTACACTTAGCCACCGGGCCATTAAAAAGCCTTTTAATAGTATTTTCATATAATTTCTATGGAAAAAAGTGCATTTATGGTTATTAATAATAGTAAGCCCAGATGCTAAGATTTCAAGAGTTCTAACAAAAATTCGACAAAATATAAGGTAATTTTCAAAGTTGTCCCAAAACTCAGGTGAATATTATTATTTCGAGTTGGTTTTGAATCCACTGGGCAAAGGTCTTATCAAGAATGCGTCAAGTGTCACTATGCGTGGTAGGCTAAGAGCCCAATAGTATGAAACTTGGTTTGCTTGAAATGAATATACCATCATTTATGGGGGAGGAGCAGTCCTCTTCTGAGGGGAATAGTAGTCTTCCCCGTAGGGATGCTGATGTGTGCGAAATTGTTCCAGTAGACCTGTTAGTATGCGGCAAAGAATACTATGGTGTTTAGTCGGTGCGAGTCTTACATAAGCCGTCCTTGCCCCCGCGAGGCGGAAATGCGTAAGCCTTGTCTCATGTAAAAAAAGATACACCACCATTTGTCGGTTGCCTGTCACTGTTTTTAGCTTATTTTTTTCTTTTATATAAATATTTTCTTTTGTTATAGGTTCGACAACATTTAGCAAGGCTGCCGTCCATTGATCCGTACACGCGGACAATTATTATTTGCGGTTTTCCAAATGTCGGCAAATCCAGCTTCATAAACAAGGTACTGTCATATTTCCATTACTTATACAGTGGAATCTCGATTAACCGGACTAATTGTTGCCATTAGGGATCCAGATAATCGAAAACCCGGATAATCGAATGTATAAAGAAAAGCAAGTTTTGTGCATATGTTGTACATACATACATAATGTTATGTGTTTATTATAAAACAACAAATACATATCAACGAAAATCAATGTTTATTAAGAAATTATTACGATATACATTTTCCAATATACAATGTATGCACTTATGTACGTACATATTTTCTTAGATTACACACATACATACTAAAATACTACAGCCTCAATCACGAAATAAAATATTTAGATATGTATGTATGTATAATTTGTTTACAATGTGTATTTGGTGATTTGCATTTGATAATTATGAAATAAAATAATAAATTTAATTTGGTAAGCCACTTTTTCTCTTCATTGCTGCTTTATCACGAATTCATTTGAGCTGTAGTAAACTCACAGTATCACTCTGTGTTTGTTTTTCAAACCACTTGAGAGCTGTTTTCAGGGCCTGAAGTGCTTCATCATGAGATGGTCCTACATCATTTTCCATATCTATATTTTCTTCTGTTTCATCTTCTTGCATTTCCTGCTGTTCATTTATCTGCAATATGTTTTCTACCATTTCATCATCCGACATAATCTGAAAGCCTTGATCATTTACTGTCCCAAGTGACCCACTCTTTCATATCATCATCATCACAATCCTGGCATATTTATATCCTCCAAAATAGAATCATCCGTCTTGGTTATTGAATTTTCATTCTCCTGATTAAGTACTCCGTTCCAAGCCTTGTTTAAAGTTTTCTTTTCAATCAAATCCCACGCATCTACAACCATGTAACAACACTCCTTTAAATTCACTTCCTTAAAAAATGATAGAATAGAATAGAATAATTTTTTATTCAATATAGATCACATGTGTAATTCTTATTGAAAGTAATTTTTTGCTTTACCACTGGTTCAAAAAAAACCTCTGTCTTGGGAACCAGCAAGAAACACAGCGGGACTTTTTTTTTTAAAAGCAAATTTTACATTAATGGTTGTACAAACTATATAAGTACAAGTATAAAACGACTTCTACATTATCTTTATCAACAGATAACAACCTACGTAAAAGTTGTTTTCTATAAAGTCGTTTTAATGTTTCAATAATACTTTGATCCATTGGTTGCAGCAAGTCGTCACATTAAGAGGCAAAAATTTTACTTTAAATTTTCCATTTTCTCTTTCTAACAGTTCAGCCGAAGGTTGGGTTGGCGCGTTATCCAGTAAAAGTAATACATTTCCTTATTTCCAATTTCGTTTTGTCTTTTTTTTTACTTCAGGGATAAATTAAGGGCACCCTGATATTTTTTAAATATCTAGGTCTTTTTGATTTTACGATGAGGAGCAAAGGTATTTTATGGGTCCCGGTAGCATTAGCTCAAACGAATATCGCTATAAACGAAATCCAAGTCATAGTTATTTTCATCCAATTTCTTCTTAAAATCATCTTTAAAAGATTTTGCTGCGTCTACATTAGCTGACATTTATTCACCTTGTATTTCTAATTGACGAATTCCATGACGAGATTTAAATCTGTATAACCATCCGTTACTTGCGACAAACGAGTCGTCGCCGCCTAATGTTTTATTTAACTGTAATGATTTCTCACAGAGCAAAGGGCCAAATATTGGTTGCCCAGTCGATCGGTTTTGTGAAAACCAACAATACAAAGCGTTTTCTAAAAGTTCGTTTTTCGGTTTCTTCATCATTTTCCGATGTCTACTCCCGTTTTCACTATCTAATTTACAGGTGTACAACAAAATTGAATCGGCATTCTTCTTAATATCACTTATCGTGGATGTACCTACACCATACTGATCAGCTAACTTACGACCGGTTTTTCCTTTTTTTAATGAATCAATAATATTTATTTTGTCTTTAAGCGATAACACCACTCTCTTATGCTTTGACATTTTTAAATGTATATTTAAAAATCTGCATAGACAAGACACGCACGTCAGAGCGGAGTAACAATTGCTAGCTAACTAAAACAATAACGAAACGCGTGGGGCAGCAATCCCGCAGGGCGCGGCCGGGGTAATGCCAGTACCGACTTGTTCAAACTTGCATAAATTCGACATGTAGTACATACGTTAAACATTTTGTAACTTGGCTCAATATGACTTAATTATTTAATTGGTCTGGATAATCGCGAATCCGTACAACTGTGGACCGGATAATCGAGTTTCTACTGTATTATTGATTTAAAATGTATGGCCGTATGGACTCTTACAATATTTATATAGTAAAGAAAAAAAAAACGAGAAATCAATCGTGCTACAGCGACGATTATAATTTAACATTGGCCTTTTATTAAAAAAAAAAATGTTTTGCAAATCTTAATAAAAGTTATGTTTTTTAGTTTTAATAAATAAAAAGTGATTAACACTCTGTAAACAACAGGAACAAAGAAGCTAGTGATACCAGTTTCTCGACTCCACAATCAGTAATTCATTCATGGGGAATTGTATATGATATTACAACAAAGTTCCACTAATTATACAAGGTCTCTCTATTACCAAGTTTAAATATTTTACTAAACAAAAAGATAACAAGGGTTATCTTTATATATAAAAATTATGTGTCACATTGTTTGTTCGCGATGAACTCCTAAACTACTGAACTGATTTCAATGAAATTTTGCACACTGTGTGCAGTTTGGTTCAATTCAAACCCTCAATTTTTTTTCATTGCTAATCTCAGGAGTTTTTTTAGGAATGCAAATGGTCGTCGGAAAGGGCAGAACAACGTCTGCCTGGTCAGCTAGTTACAATATAAATGAATACATGATTGATAATTATCTCTGGGAATGAGATGGACCCTTCCAAACTATTTTTTGCTGGAAGCTAGTAATTTCCAAGCACATTACAATTATTACTATGTTTGTTAAATAAATGTTTTTCTATTCTAAGAATAAAATGGAATACTATTTTATTCTTATGGTTATTGTAATAAAATAAGAATAAAAGTAATAAAAACAAGTTAGGTAGCAAAGAACCTTTCACTACGGCGCTCTGTGGCTTCGTTTTAAAATGCCAAATTCTCCTTCGGGTGTACGTCACACGCGGGCGACCTTTGATGTCGCGGTAGCGCCTTTGACAAAATGCGGCACGTACCAAAGCGGCGCGACACAAAGGTAACCGTATCTAAGCGATCAGACTATAAATAAAATAATTGACTTCAATAAGTACTATATAGTAATCTATATTTTGATTAAAATTATTATAATACTATTCTTAAATATATTTGTTTCAGATAACGCGAGCTGATGTGGAAGTACAGCCCTATGCATTCACCACAAAGAGTTTATATGTGGGACACACTGACTACAAATATCTTAGATGGCAGGTGAGTGTTGGGTTGTACTGATGTATACTATATAATATGAACTTTGAATGAAAGTAATTAACTTATTTTATATTCCCGACGTTTCAAACACTTAACATCACCTATGGTCACGGAGGGACATATGTATTCGACGTCCCAATGTCATAGTTAACCACAACTACCTTCAATTTAAATTTATTATTAATTTTTGGTCTGATCTACGCAGAAGGAGCTTATAATATCTTCAACTCTTGCAGTTGTATGTTTAGGTTGGTATTTAAAAAGATCCCAAGCAGATGATAGCACCCAGCGAACTTTTCTATTGAAATAAGGATATTTTTTGGTTTCAATAGTCTCGCGAATCATCCTTGGAAGTAATCTGTTTTTTCGCGAGAATTTATGGTCTATCAAATCTAATGTAGTGACGGGGGTGATCCTGTACGTGACCACAGATTGTAATTTCCGGAGTGTCGATTCTTTACTTCAGCTTTGTGTTCTCAAATATGCTACCCCGTCCCGCTCGTTGCAATGCCGGTCGATCTCGCGAAGTAAACCGGTTTTTAATAATACTAAACACTCAATTTGATCAAACAAAAAACAAATAACTAATTAATTGTAAACCGTTTCTAATCCCTGTGGAAGAGTTCTTGTACTTATAAAAATGTGGCAATTGTTTTAGGTGATTGACACGCCAGGCATCCTGGACCACCCACTAGAAGAGCGCAACGTGATAGAAATGCAAGCTGTCACAGCATTAGCACATTTGAGAGCTGCAGTGCTTTATTTCATCGACCCCTCCGAACAGTGTGGACACAGTATTGAGGAACAGGTAAAAAAAGTGAAGTAATAGATTACATATTGTACCGGCCAAACCCGATTTTAAGCCAAACTAATTTGTTCTGGGCAAAATCGATTTATCCTACGCTTGTCAGGATATACTAGTTTAGCCCAGGACAATCTAGTTTGACCTAAATAACTTAGATACTTTGGCCTAGGCGGATCTGAGTAAATGAAAATATTTTTTCGAATATTGATGTTCTCATCATATTGGTGTGTTTTCGTAATTGGTCTAATACTGTTGCACGCCTGCAACTTTACAAGGCGCAGGTTCGGCCTCACATGGAATACTGTTCCAATCTCTGGACTGGGGCTCTCCAGTGCCAGCTCCTTCCACTTGACCGCATTCAGCGCAGAGCGGCTCGAATCGTTGACGACCGAGTCTTTCTCGATCGGCTCGATTCACTGGCGCTGCGAAGAGATGTTGTATCTCTTTGCGTATTTTATCGCATCTACCACGGGGAGTGCTCTGAGGAATTGTTCGGATTAATTCCAGCCGCTCAATTTCACTATCGCACATCGCTTCAAAACTCGCGATTTAGAAAATGTTTTCTTCCTCGCACAACATCCTTGTGGGAATCGATTACCAGCAGCGATTTTTACGGACCGATACAACTTAGAGACCTACAAGAAAAGAGCCTACTCCTTTTTAAAAGGCCAGCTTTGCAATTGCCCTGGTGTTGCAGTTGTTCATGGACGGCGGTACTCACTTACCCTCAGGTGAGCCGCATGCTCGTTTGCTCGTCTTCTATAAAAAAAAAATTCATAGTCATTATTAAATTGTTTAAGCAATATTACAATTTTTTCTATGTTATGTACTTTAAAACTTTATGTGCGTGATTTTTTTTAATTTTCTTAAGTTAGGTTATGCAATGATTGATTGCCCAGATAAGCAGCAGTGTCTTCCTGATAATAACATAGCAGTTGTCTAAGCAGTACTTCAATGAGGGCTCATAATCTTAAGCCGCGTATCGATTATGCGCTCCAAGAGGTCGAACACTGGCGCGCGTTCCAGCCGCGCGAATTGTTCGTTATGCTCAAACCTGGAGCGGGCTGTTCCATTTGGTGTCGGTTTTTTACCACGTATCAAAGTAGTTAAGTTCGCGCCGGGTGGGACGGTTGTTTTCATTGTTCGTGTGTTCGTTGCGTTCCGAGCTATGATAACCAAAGTTGCCGTACATTGATAAAATTAGTTCAAAAGAACTGCTGTGGAATAAATAAGTTTCTCGGTTTCTGGTGTATATCTTTTTTTATAGAATAAGGGTGACAAACGAGCACACAGTCCATCTGATGGTAAGTAGTTGCTGTGGCTCATAGACATCTACATTTATCCTCGATTACGAATCAAAACGCAGATGCGTTGTCACCCGTGAGGACTAAGATGGAATGCCTCGTTTCCAGTAAAAAGGGTCTCTGGTTCTCTACACTCAACATACAAAACACAGCAGCATTAGGCTGCTATTTTACGCTGGTATTCAGTGAGAGCGTGGTCCTTCCCCGGTCGAGCCGACCCATTCGTGTTACAACTATACCAGAAATATAGCTGCAGCATGGCTCTACCACGTAAAAAAACAATGCCTCAGAGCTGTATTCTTTAATTACTTACACATTTTTTTTAAATTCTACTTTTAGGAATATCCATAATTTGGTTTATTTATTACAAATCTAATTCATATAAAATATAACTAATATTTCAGAAAGAAACATTAATCTCTACACTTTTCTAACATCGTAACTTCCCCCGCTATGAAGTGGCGCAGCCCTGGTGGCAGAAAAAGTCGTGAAAATTTGACTAATGATGAAATGCTTATCATCATCATCATAATTACAGCCTGTCATGCTTAAATTAAATTATTAATATTTTTGTTCAAGATATCACTGTTCGAGAGCATAAAGCCGTTGTTCAGTAACAAACCGCTGATTGTGGTACTTAACAAGATTGATGTGGTGAAACCGGAAGACCTGCCTGCACCCAAGAAGCAGCTCATTGAGCAATTGGAACAAGCCTGCGCTCAGGGCAATTTAGTCAAGTAAGTCCTAATCATTACAGCATATATATATATGTACATACATAATCTATTAAACATTTTATATGTGGTAGAGCCACGCTGAAGTTATATTATGGTTGTAGCACGAATGGGTTGGCTCAACCGGAGAAGGACCAAGCTCTCACAGAATACTAGCATAAAATAGCAGGTTAATGCTCCTGTTTTTTGTATGGTGTGTGTATAGAATCAGAGACCCCTTTTACTGGAAACGTGGCAATCCATCTTAGTCCTAAAGGTGACAAAGCATTTGCATATTCATTTTTAATTGAGGATAAATGGACATAGTTATACAAAAACGTTCCAACCCACAAGTCATTGTAGACTGTGTTTGAATAAAAAAAATAATGTAAACTCTCACGCTTGTTACCCAGAGGGGGTAGGCAGAGACTACAAAATAATACATTATATTTATAAACTAGCGTAACGCTTTTAAAAATAAAAAATTAACTATTCCAGTGCAGATTCAAACTCTGAGCTACGGACAGTTCCGGTGATGCGCATGTCAACTATCACAGAAGAAGGCGTCCAGGAAGTAAAGATTGAGGCTTGCGAGCGGTTGCTTGGACACCGTGTCACAGAGAAGATGAGGAGTAAGAAAGTATGTACATTAAATTTTTTTTAACTTTACCTCTACTTAGGAAACCATAAGTGTATAAACTATAATTACGTCCTCGAATTTCGGTCACGGCAGGAAGTCTCAAAATGACTAGCCTGTGGTTTACAGTTGATTCCATATGGAAGATAACTGCGTTTTATCGAGCTCCAGGGGTCATTTAAAAAAAAAAAAATTGTCTCAGTCTGTCTGTCTGTCTATCTGTCTTCAGGCTAATCTTCAGAATCACTGAACCAATTGTAATGAGACTTCATAAACAGATAGACAACAATGTCAGGAGTTATCTAGAATATGAGTATATTTTTATATAAAAAATTTGAAGAATTGTGTTTTAATCGATATCAAATCTTTTTGATAAGATGTAATAAATAATCTTTAATGATTATCTCAAATCTAAATAGCATCACATTGATATAGATAGATCCCACCAGCACCACATTGATATGGATAGATCCCACCCAGGCGAAACCAGGGCTTGTCGCTAGTTAATTTTAGAAATGAACACTTCATCTATTTATAAGACTAGTGAATCGATAATTCATATTTGTGAGATATTTATATGTACTTTAAAATTTGTAATTTAAATGTTACTGTGGAGAACATAGTATTAATATCTTTTCAAATATAAATTGTTTGAATTTTTATTCCACTGTAATTATACTTGGTATAAAATTTTTACTCCACTGTAAATATACATGGTAGAGCTATGCTGCAGCTATATTTTGGTTGTAGCACGAATGTGTCAGTTCAACCGGGGTAGGACCACTCTCCCAGAATACCAGTGTAAAATAGCAGCTTACTGTGTTTCGTATAGAGGGTGTAAAGTACTGAAGACCCTTTTTACTGGAAACGAGGATTTCCATATGAGTTCTCAGGGGTGACAACGCAACTGCATTTTGATTTTTAATCAAGGATAAATTCAAATGTCTATGGGCCACAGCATCCACGTACAATCAGGTGGACTGTGTGCTCGTTTGTCACCCTTATTCTATAAAAAAAATTGTATTACTTGTCACGCTAGGCAGGCAATATGAATGATAATCGTCTTGTTTCAAAATAATGTCATTTTCAATGTTTATCAAATTAGGATCGACTCAATGAAATGGTGTGTGGGGTAAAGAGATAGTAGATGAGGTAAAACAAAGCATCTCACTTGTATTTAGAAGCAGGTGACGTTCCAAACTGACGAAAGTTCTGGAGGCGCGTTTCTTGTCATCTTTATTGTATATAAAAAAAGGATGATAAGGATTTAACTCCAGGTGGACGGGATCCTGAATCGGCTGCACGTGGCGGTGCCAGCTCCTCGCGATGGCAAGGAGCGGCCGCCGGTGATCCCGCCCGCCGCGCTCGCCAAGCAGCAGCAGAGAGCTGCCCGGGAAGCTCGCAAGCGCAAGCTGGAGAGGGAGATCGAGCTGGAACAGGGAGACGACTATGTACTCGGTAACTACACATTGCTTTATTTGTTGTCGCTCCGTCAAAGGTCACTGACACAACCTGAACTCCACATTCTTTCAATAATGTTAAGCGTTGCTGCAATAAAGTGGGTGTTTCTTTAGCGATAATAGGTTCAATTAAAAAATAACCTACTACATTGTTTGTTTTTGTAGGAAACTATCTTTGTTTTGCAGGAGGGAGCAGTCCCAAAAAATCCCTTACAGAAAAATTTAAAGATATAAATATATTAACTTAGGCCTCTCAGTATATTTACGAAAATTTAATTTACATACACAAAAACAAAAATAGTTTTATTAAAAATAGTGGTGTAGGTTCTCTAAATACTAGGAACAAAGCACAAGCTAGTTGTTATACCAGGTACTCGACTCCAAAAAGTCAGTAATTCCATCATGGGGCAATGTATACGCTTTTACAACAAGTCCTAGAAAATATGTAGGTCTTTCTATTCTGTTGCCAAATATAGGCCTTCCACCATAGATTGCCTTATGCAGATAGGCAGGTTAGCAACGGTCTTTACTATTTGGAGTTGTTATGAGAAAGATTTTACATAGTAGAGTATGCTGCAGCCATAATATAGTTGCGGAATAGATTTGCTCAACAATACTTTACAAATTATGTGTGTCGTATGGTGAGTGTAGAGAACGGGAGACCCGTTTCACTGGTAATGAGACATTCCATCTTACTCCTCAGGGGTGATAACGTATCTGCATTTTGATTCTAAATCGAGGATAGATGTTCACTTGCCATCCTTAATTTTTTTCTACCGACTTCAAAAAGAACGAGGTACTCAATTCGACTGTATGTTCTTTTTTGTGTGTTACGTCATAACTTTTACTGCGTGAACCGATTTTGAAAATGTTGGCAGTAACATTTTCATTTATAACTTGTTCTTATATAACAAAAGTTCTGTACCACCCAACCAAGCATTGGAGATTGGATTCTTACTTATAGATACTTTTCTAAGCCCCTAACTACACAGAAGGTTTTTTTTTTAAATAGAATAAGTGACAAATGAGCACATGTCCATCCATGCTATGTGATCCAAAATGCAGATGCTTGTCGCTGGTGATAGACTATTTGGGAGTAGGAATTGAATTTAGATGTTTGATGTTGCCTTTCCAGATCTACAGAAGAATTACTCGGAGATCCCGGAGGAAGAGCGACACGACCCAATCCCAGAGTTCTGGGAGGGACACAACATCGCAGACTACATCGACCCGGAAATCTTCGACGTAAGTTTCTTCTTTGTCTTTACCAGTGCACAAAAACTTCTCCTTTTATAGGGAGGATATATCTTAAAGATTTTAAAATTATTTGGCTAAAATCCGCGTAAAAAATAAAATTGATGTGTATTACCTAGTTTGAAGAGCTCTTCCCGCCCTTCCTCAATTGCGTGCACTATCCTCGTCACCACTAATCCCAACACCACTACCCTCAACACTACACTAGGAAAGACACACCACCGTCGTTAATACGACATTTCTAAAGGAGGCATCATCAGGAGAAATTGACTCTGCAACTGTTGAACGCTATCTCTCAGCTACGTGTCGTAATATGAAAGGTGGTGTGCCTTTTCTAGTGTTGTGGCGCTGGGATTAGTGATGGTGATAGTTTACTCAATTGAGGCTAAAGCTGCTTTATAAATAGGTAAGTCACATAATTTTACGTAGACCTCCCACCCTCCCTCAATCGCGCGCACTATACCCGTCGCCGTCAATCAAATCTGGGGATGGTAGTGCTGGGATTGACGGCGACGGGTATAGTGCACGCGATTGAGGGAGGGTGGGAGGTCCCCTTAAAACTGGGCACGACACATCATTTTCTTTCTTTACGCGGAATTAAGCAAATTAGTTTATAACAACCCCATAATAATGGATTTATATTAATCGTCACGGTATAGAAAGTTAGAAGTGGTTATTGTCATCTTTTTTTTCCGTCTGAAGACTAGGATGGAATACCTTACAGCTTGTAATTTAACTGGCTCTCTGTATCCTTCAGAGGAGAATAAAGCAGTGCAAGCTACTCAAGCGGACTCCTAGATAAAAAAGAAGTCCATCTAGTAGTTCTTCGATTAAGTTAAGCACTCCATTTTCAATGAGGGCGTCCACGACTTTTTCTGCCACCAGGGCGGCGCCACTTAAAAGTGAGATGTAATATTTGACAGATTTCATAGCGGTGAAGACAATTTGTTCGGAAAATGTAAAGATTAATGTTTCTTACTGTACTATTAGCTATATTTTATATTAAAAATGGCGGTCTTGGCGGTCCACCACTGTACATTTTACTAGGAAATTTCTTCCTCGTACATCCTCTGTGGAATCGTTTGCTACTGGTGCTTTTTCCGGACCGATACGACTTAGTTATCTTCAAGAAAATAGCTTACTCCTTTCTAAAAGGCCGGCAACTCACCTGCAATTCCTGATGTTGCAGTTGTGAATGGGCGGCGAGTCACTTACCATCAGATGAGCCACATGCTCGTCTTGCCTCTTTTCTATAAAAAAAATGAAAGTAGAAGATATCTATATACCATAGCGTCTACTTACCATCAGGTAGACTGTGTGCTCGTATGTCTTTTGTTTGCATAAAAATTCATATATGTATAAAAAATATAAACACCAAACTTTCAAACGGAGTTCTACCACCATAAAAGAGACATTTTTGACTTCGGCAGAAACTGGCTGAGCTGGAGAAAGAGGAGGAGCTACGTATCGCCGGTGGAATGTACGCGGTGCCTAAGATCGAGCTCGACGAGACCATGCGCGAGATAAAAGACCTGGCTCGACAGATCCGGTCAGTACATGTTCACATTATATCATTTTTACAGCAAATATAATTTGAATCACCGTCTCCAAAACACACAACATCCGAAAATATTCAGAATTTGATGACTTGGTGGAATTTGTTTGCAGTTAACTATTTACTAGCCAACCGTGTGTTGCGGTGTCTTAAGAGGCGACAGAGGGAAACTAGAACAGCAGGAGATAAGCAGCAACATCTTCATTATAACAGTTGAATAAAAATAAAAAACTGCGGTTGCCAACCCGCTTGCTAAGCGTGGCAACTATGGCGAAATCCCCCTATAAGGCAATCTATGGACTTTATAAGCTGTAATAGATAGATTTATTCCCAAGCAGCATGTAAGCTGTATACGAGCTGTATTGAAGTCCGTATTTATACTAGAGGCTGTATAAAAGTTGTATAAGCGCTTATACGGTATAATTATGCAGCTTTATGCGTTAGTAGCGCTGTACAGTAGCTGTACAAACTAAAAGAGGCTATATAACTGCTGTATTATAGCTGTTATTTGGCGTTCAAGGAAACCATTATACTACAGATATTGTCTTATAAGTAACTTATAAAGACAAATGTACTAAATTGGTTTTTGAACGCAATCACAAATGAATAATAATAATCAAAACAAAAAGTTTATTGAATGAGAGCGTCCTTTAATGTCTTAACATATTAATATTATATTGGGCTTGGAGTTAAGTTTTGATGGTGGTAATTGGTGAATTAAAATTGCGAAATTAGATTTACGGTAAACTTGTATGTTTTCTATCAAAAAATTGCCGCGCCAGCAAAATACCAAATTAATATAAGGACAAAATACTAAAGGTAACTAAACATCGGTTCTATAGGTTAAAATGAAAAAAATATTAAATTAATGGAAGGCACATTGGAGACAGTTATAATTAGTCAAACCGAGAGTAATAGTAAAGGCTTAGACTAATGTCTAATATTCCCAAAATTATATTTAAAATTTTGTTTTAATGGGTCTTAAAATGGCGACAATCTGCTAAACAGCCTAAACGGTATTTCGAGGGTCTTATAGTCTTAGTAGCTGTACTATGTATGTTATGGATTATATCATGCAGCCATTGGTTTTTAATCAGTTCTATAGTATGATATTTTTATTACTTACGCTGTATAGCAGTTTTTTTTAACATAACATATAAATTCTCTTTAGAGGTACAAATAAAAGATGAAAAACCTTATCTTGGCAACAGTGTTAACAAAAAAAATATCATAATGTAAAAATTCATAAATATAAAATTGTTGTTATTTAAAATACATTGTTTACTATTCGCATAAAATTCAGTAAATTTTAATATCTGGCAACACCGTCGTCGGCAAATGGCCGCCTCCGTATTACCATGTAAGTTTCCCATTTAAGTAAATATTTTATTTTTCGCGGGATATTTGTTGATTTATAAGATTACATGAACTGATTTCATGTCGTGAAGGTCGCTCAGCGAGCTATGGAGAGGGCTATGCTCGGAGTTTCTCTGCGTGATAAACTTAGGAATGAGGATATCCGCAGTAGAACCAGAATAACCGACATAGCCCAACGAATTAGTAAGCTGAAGTGGCAGTGGGCCGGCCATATAGCTCGAAGAACCGACAACCGATGGGGAAGAAAGGTTCTCGAGTGGCAGCCTCGTACCGGTAGGCGAAGTGTAGGGCGTCCCCCCACGAGATGGAGTGACGACCTGGTAAGACATGCAGGAAGTCGATGGATGCAGGTGGCTCAGGACCGTGCTTTGTGGCATTCTTTGGGGGAGGCCTATGTTCAGCAGTGGACTTGTGAAGGGCTGTAATGATGATGATGATGATGATGAACTGATTTGTCGGAAATACTTTAACGGAGAGTAATTGTTTAAAGTAATAAAAGAGTAAAATCGGACGTTCAACTTCCTTTTCTGCTTTTTTTTTATTATGTACGAGCAGCTATGCATGTCTAGACAGACCAGTACCACTGTCACCTAAAAGATCTATTGTGATCGCTGCTATGTATACAGTTCACTGCTAAGCCCTACGTCCTCAATGAATAGGAGTTGCTTAGCTGTGAGTAATTTCACTTCTTCTGAGCGAAGTACATAGTTTCCCAGATGAGTGCTGCGTTTGCGCGTTAAGGGTCCGTAATTTGTCAAATCAAATTCGTATATTCGACGTCAGGGTGTATAAAGGCGTTTTCTTCTCTAGGGAGCAAAACCGGTATATCCTTGAGTTGCTTAATCCCAGGATGGACATGTACTTTTTAAGACTGTTCACAACAGTTTTCAGTCAGGGCTCTTACCACAATGCGCAATTTATTTTTACCTAATCCCAGGGCTTCCGAAGCGAATTTACGATCGAAAGCCCGGATTAAAGTTTTAGAATGTTTTAAGCCTGTTGTATCAGACCAAATCTTAAGTGATTTATCGTGGTAAAGTTTCCAGGGTCAATCGGGCGAGTCTTTTTGAGATTCCACAAAATGGCTCGAGTCCGAATTGTGTACTCTGAGCCCTCCCGTGCGAGCTTGCCGGCAGTTTCATTGCCTACAATACCTGCGTGACCCGGAACCCATCTTAAAACGACCTTGTTGTAATCTCCCAGGGCGTTTAGACGGTTCACGCAGTCTCGAACTAACTTCGAGTTCACCAAGTTTGATCTCAGCGCTAGCAGTGCTGCTTGACTAACTATAGATTATATAGTAAATGTTCCACGTTAAAGTGCCACGTTAGTTTATGATCGATTGTTACACCCAAGTAATTTACTTCAGTGGGGAATTCTTCTTTACCATTGAGTTTTGGTGTGACTAATTTGTCCAACCGTCTCTTTTTGGTAAAGGATATTATAACAATTTTATCAGCATTAACTGACCCACCAAGGAATTTTTCGTGTTGAGGTCTTGCTTTTGACGGGACTACTGTCTTCGAAGGCTTCACGGATACCTACGGTTACCGTCTCTGTCGCTAATTTCAGACCTTCAATCGTTTTTATGCTTTTAGGAAACGTTTCCAAATTCCTCCTTAGGCTATCTCTGTAGACATGCCAGGAGGTCGCTTTTGGATTCCTAAACGCAACACTTTCATAAGTTGGTGATGCTCTAATCACAAATTTAATGTTTGTGATCAGGCATCGAGTTTTCACTACTAACATGCCATTTAGTAATCCGCCTGGATTTGTTATTGGTAGCAACAGTTAAATCTAAAACTTCCTGCCTAGCACGCTTTACAAAGGTTGGTGTACACCCTAAGTTTAGGCTTACCATGCGATTGAATATGAGAAAGTCAAAAAGTAACTGATCTCTTTCGTTGATGTTAGTGCTTCCCCATGCTGTGTGGTGAGCATTAGCATCACATCCCACCACAAGTTGCCTGGAGGACCCTCGTCTTACCCTTAGGGTTAGCAATTTATAGGCGTGGGGAGCAGGGGTCGTTTTCGCCTACTTAGGACGAAGACATCCTTTACCGGCGCTCTTGACCCCCACCGTATCTTTTGGTTTACCGCTCCCACGTCCTTTCCTCTTATCCCTGGCCGACACCAGCGGAGGCCCCCGGACCGAGACGAGATCAGCGCCTTAAGGGGCTACTCCATGCGAACGACCTTGAGCATTTGACCGCTTGCTACAATATTAATATATTGTAGCGAGCGGCTCGCCGGAAGAAATATGTAAGACGCCACCTATTGTACGAAAGTAGTATTATTTTTTCAACATCAATAAACTATTTTATGGAAATACACATAGCGTACAAAGATAAATGTATTTTAATTTTTTTATTCTGTATATATTAGTTGCATTATATTAGAATTATGTATTTTCATATATTATCTAATTATGAAATTTTATAATTAATTATATATTAAAACTGAAGCATTGAAAATTGTGAGTTTAAAAGATACCTATTCACTATAGGTAAATAAATAGATAGCTCGGCTTTTGTACAAATATTTGGTGCAATAAAAAATAAATAAATAAATAGGATGTTTCGCATATGTGTTTTTGATTATTGTTAATTTTTACGTGTCACGTATTGAAAAGTTACCTACTAATTTTTGAACTTATGCTGGCAGATATTATCCTCACCCCAATGATTGATGAGGATGAAAATCAATTTTATTTCTACATACGTAATTATATTTATTTATACATAAGGGTAACTTTAATAAAGGTAATACAAAAATCAACAAGAAGTATAAGGGTTCAATCTTTCAATTTCAGTTGTAAAAAAACGTTACCCCCACACTAGGATTTTCTCCTGTGTCGTGGAGGCAGTTTACAAACATAAATTGCACAAAGACAAACATCCAGACCCGGAACAATTATTTGTAGGCCATACAAATACTTGTTCCATGCGGGATTCGAACCCGCGGCCCCCAGCGCAACAACTGATTGCTAAGCCACTGCGCCACCATGAAGCTAATACAAAGACTAACTTTGTATTTGCTTCATGGTCGCCGGGTTATAGCTAAAGTGACCATACGTCCCGTTTTGAACGGGACTGTCCCTTTTCTCGGTCTCCTGTCCCATTGTCCCCAAACAAAGCTCCGGGACACAAAATTGTCATGTAACTAGTTGGATGGAAGTATTCAAAGTCAACAATCTTCAACATAATTTTTTTTAATCGAATATATTTTATGTCTACCTGGTACGAATGCTCCGGTAGAAAGAGTATTTTTTTATTTTGCATAAATTGTGGACGTCTGAAAGAAACACTTACGGTTCCAGAGTTCTAAAGGCGATGTTGTTAACAAAGATAACAATAAAAAAACTTGAGCAGAATTTTATTCTTATTTAAAATCATCACCAACTTTATTAAAGCAAATTTAATCCACTGACAAATGTAATTAATAATTTAAAAAAATATGTTGCATTTAATAATTACCGTCTATACCGAATATAATTTTATAGTGAACACTAATTGTATAAAGTTATAGTTTTTAGAGTATAAATAAACCCATGTCCTGTTATGAGTTAAAAAATAAATGGTCAGTTTAGTCTTTTTAGTTAAATTTAGTTTTAAAAATTTTTAGTTTATAGTAAAAAGTAGGTATATTAGTACTTTTTACCGAATTATAAGTATAGAACACCTTATGTACTCAATTATTTTTTGAAAAAGAAGAAAAAACAAGCAATAAATAATATACTATATTTTAGCAAAAAACTATAACTTAGTAATACTAATTATAACTTAGAACATAAATGAAAAACTCATAACTGACTTTTTGGCCCGACCCAGGATTCGAACCCGGGACCTCATGATCAGCAGTCGCACTACTACAACCACTAGACCAACGAGGCAGTACTATACCTGATAAGATATTGTGGTTGGGTGATAATATTGAATTAGCCTTTTATAGTGTAAATTATAATATTTGTCGAAATTTTAATTATAGATTCGAACCTTACATGCTAATGGTGCTTCATTTTTTTATTTGCATTTACTTCAAAGAAAATACACGCAAAAAGCTTCATCGCGCAGTAAAAAACACAACAAATATATGTATAACTAATACGAAAAATTATACCCAAAACAAACAAATAATACTACCTATAAATAACCTAATAAGTAATAATGTTATCGACTCATATGACGTGGCGTATGCGTTGGTCGACGCTCTAACAACACAGGCTTCACGTCGAAGAGCTCAGCGCTCACTGACTTCAGCAAGCCCGTGAGCAGTAAATATGCCCAGATTTTAAAATAATTTCTTAATAAAATCAAATTTTGGTCTTTTGAAAAAAAATTTACTATAGAAATGTTCATTAATAAATTGCCTATCCATTGGTGTAAATCGCAAAATAAAATAATACTTACTTTACGAGGAGATGCATGTTATCAATAATAATTTCACATTTATGTGGTTTCGTTGTAAGGAGATTATATTAATATTTGTTCCTTTAAAAAAAAATTGGATATAGCTTTTATGGAATCAAGATTATGTAGAAATATAATGTGTTTTTTATTTGTTGATATATCTTTTAAATAAAAAGTAGATAGCTTCTAAAAACCGCCCAAATAACGACTAGCGCGACATTTTGCTCAACCTGCGCCTTAAGTCACAGTCACTCCCGCTGATGTCGTTTCAGTCTTACCCCTCGAGGTGGAGGGCTAAGGGGATTGGAGTTGGGGCGGTTCAGGCTCCATTGCCGCATCAGAGCTTCCCCTGACCTTGAAAGTTATAATTTTAAAGTCAAGGACGACTGCCGCCCGCCGCCCGGAGAGCCTCCGCCGATGGGTCGTCTAGAGATAAGGTTACTAGGAACCCATTCTCCTCGTCCCTACGGTGGAGGATTTTCCAGAGCTCGGTATGGAGCCCTTCATTTTGTGCCCTCAACAGCACAGTCGCATCCTCTGGAGAGTCAGCTTCGCTGCGGGGCAGAAAGGTAATGCCCAGTTAAGGTTTAGACAGTTCGCTCTCGGGTATTATCGAGAGCTCTGCCTCTGGCCAGCGTTCCATTTTACCGATCTCGCCCACAATCCAGTGCTGGCTTGCCTTATTCAGGCCCGTAACCAGAATCCAACCTGGCTTGTGGGTGAAACCCGAAAATTTTGGTGCCATTCCCAGATGCGCTCCACAGGCCGTCTTAGCAATAGCCTACGTTAGTGCCCGGTGGACCAGCCGCATCTGCTCCACGCTCGATTCGAATTGCAAATCCTATACGCGCGGAGCCAGTTACGGCACTAAAACTGAGTTTCTTCTCCCCCCTTGCCAGCTTCACAGATTTCCTGGACTGGTCTTTGGAGGACTCCTCCACAGACCGACTGCGTTTTTTCGCCTTCGGAACTGGGGGAGGTTTGGGCAGAGGAATTTCGTCCCAGGACTTCTGGCAGAGAGAGAGGGCCTCTTCGGCTCCTATCCCAGCTGCTATCAGCCTTCGGTACTTCTTCCATGCTGCCCCACTAAGCTTGAGGCCTAGTGATTTTTTTCTTTTCCCCTCCCTGGTTCGTTTCCGACTGTGGTTCGGTTGCAGACGTGCCCTCCACTTCTCGGCTCGTCCCAGGTTGTGGCGTAGGGTTGCAGGGTGTTGGTGAGGCTAAAAGGGCCTCTTCCAGACCTACAGTCAGTTCCATTAAAGGAGAGTTAATTCTTTCCAAATGTCGATCTTCGTCCATTTTGGTCTCACGATTAGCGAGGAAAAAATTCGGTTACCCCCGGCAGAGCCCCGCATACCAGGGGAAGGGCTAAAATACTACCCTAATCGCCCTCGTCTCGGGTAGGCACCGATTGCGACTGAAGTCTCCCCCAGCCACGCATCCTTCAGTACGGTACGCTTAACACCTTTAATTGGGTTAAGATAGGAAAAAAGGGGGTGGGATAAAAAGAAAAGAAAATGAGGATCGTCTGAGTGTTTATGTTCTGTCCGTTTACTATTAAACCAGACCAAATAACAGGCGGCAACCGCGTGAAGGAAGAACTCCTCAGACTTGCCCTGGGGCTCAACACGACCTGCGCTCTCGCGCAGGTCGTGTTGAGAGCCATTCGCCAAACTGCTCGCCGGACAGCAGAGCAGAATAGGTGTTAATCTAGTCCTACTGATAATGTAAAAATGTGAGAATTAGGAGTAGACTAACCCCCGCCCTCCTTTTCTGCTTACGCAATTAATTATTATTAGCAATAAAACAGCGTATAACAAGTATGCATAGTTTCAGTATAGTGAAAGTAAGCATAAAAAATAAGTAAAAAGAGTCTCCGGTACTTTACACTCACCATACCACACAGCAGCATTAAGCTGCTATTTTACGCTGGTATTCTATGAGAGCATGGTCCTTCCGCGGTGGAGCCGGCCCATTTGTTCTACAGTCATAATATAGCTGCCATGTATTTCTTAATGGATTAACTTAAGTTTTAAAATTATTTTGATGTTTTTATTTTTTTTGGACAGCAATAAGAAGGCGATATTGAAGGACGAGTCTCGTCTGACTAAACAGTCCACGAAGCCCATAATGCCCCGCACCAGCCGTGCGAGAGGAAGGGAACGCTCCACAACACGACTGCGAGACGAGATGGAGAAACTTGGTAAGAAGTGTTTACAAGAAAATTACAAATAAACATTTAACTTCAATATTGGATGAATTATAAGAACTCACCGCATGTGGCGCCACGGATCGATGGTCTCAACAGCAAATGGCATAAATATATAGTTATCTTTTAGAGACTCATATTTGCGCTACTTGCCCAGTTCAGCTGCCTTTGATGCCGCCCCGGTACTAAACGAGGTATCCCTGAGATGACAGGCTACCAGTGTTTACACAAATAGCATCCCACACAAGGGCTTTACTCTCTATCTCTCTCTTCCAAGGAACAAAAGTCGCCGTTGTCATAAAATAAGAAAAATATCATCAGTTGATATTGTAATTGAGTCAATATTTGTTTATTTGTGTTGGTGTACTGTTAACCGTTACAGTCTATTAAAGTCCACTGCTGAACATAGGTTTCCCCTATAAATTGCCTCATAGGGGGGATATTTGCCATAGTTGCCATGCTTGGTAGGCTGGTTGGCAACCGCAGTTTTTTATTTTTTATTCTTAGGAAGACGCTACTGCTCATCTCCTGATTTGTTCTCTCCTGTCGCCTCTTACGACACCCACAGTGTTTAGGCCAATATTAAATATTTTGAAAATTGTGTTATAATCGCTCGTTAATAGCTTCGCACAGTAGCGAGGTCACATCCCCCCCGCGAGCCGGCTGACCGGACACGCCTCGAGTTAGTGTAAAACTTTTTCGGTCGGAACGGACGTTTCTTGTTTTTATTACTTAATTTTTGTCACAAACGGAGTTAAAACTAGTACCGCTGTCGTTGGCGGGAACACGTGTTGTTCTTTACGGATTTATAACTTCGGTTAAAACAATTGTGCAATTTATATAAAGATTTCGTTTGAAGTTCCTTTTTTTTGACTGTACCATTACGTGAATAGACTGAACTAGTGCCTCAAGAAGGGAACTGTTCCGGGGCTACAAGAGAATACCTTCTCCAGGACAGCATCGTGTCATCTAGCCCAGACCACTTACACACAGTCTCACACAAATACCACCTACACTCACTACACTTTCATCAGCCGTAGCCGTAGGCCGTATCACACAGGACGATATGGGTTAGTGGATATTCTTACACCGCGATTACACGGTAACAATAAAGTGTAAGAGGTCCTTGGTGTACAATATGTGTGTTGTAATGATGGTATGTTCGTGTGGTAGGTGTGGACATGTCGGACACGAAGCAGGCGCACTTCACTCGCACTCGCAGCCGCTCGCGCTCGCTGTCCGCGCCGGCCGCCAAGCGCGCGCGAGCCGACACCTCGCGCTCCGTCAGCCGGCCGCCGCGCGACACGCAGGGCGTCAAGGACGTGGCGGTGAGGAAACACCACCCTACTTGCACATACACCCACGCATTACATTGTTTTTATAGGAGGGGGCAAACGAGCATACGACTAACCTGATGGTAAGTGACTACCGCCGCCCATAAACAACTGCAACGCCAGGGAAATTTCGAGTACGTTGCCGGCCTTTTAAAAAGAAGTAAGCTCTTTTCTTGAAGGTCACTAAGTCGTATCGGTCCGGAAAAATCGCCGGTGGTAAACTATTCCACAAAGAGGTCGTATGTAGAAGAATACTCCCAGTGAAACGTACAGTGGTGGACCGCCAAGTATCCTGATGGTGTGAATGTTATCGGGAATTCTGCCGCGATGTGCATTCGTGAAATTTGGTGGGCGGGATTAATTCAAACAATTCCTCAGAGCATTCCCCGTGGTATATACGAAAGAAAATGCAAAGGGATGCAACATCTCTTCGCAGCCCCATTGAATCGAGCCGATCGGAAAGGACTCGGTCGTTGACGATTCGAGCCGCCTTGTGCTGGATGCGGTCAAGTGAAAAGAGCTGGCACTGGGGAGCCCCAGACCAAAGATGGGAACAGTATGCCATGTGAGGCCGAACCTGCGCCTTGTAAATGCAGGCAATTTGCCGACATGAAATACTGTCCCGCTCTGCTGAGCACGTCAAGCTTTTATCACAACATACAAAATTACAAACATTTCACCATATAAACTTACTAGTGTTGATCCAAAAGTAATGATAATCGGTTATTTCCAGTGTACGTAAAAATCTAAAAAAAAATTGTTTAACTTACTTATGTACCCACTAAATCAGCATAAAAAATAATATATCAGGTACATTCATTTGAATACGAATCATCGAAGAGATAACATCAAAATGGAGAAAAACGAAATTCGACCTGTCATTATCTCTATTTAAAAAATGTCTACCAAAGACATACACAACGACTTTGTGGAAACATTGAAGGACTCTGCTCCTCCATAGGAGCTTAAGCTGGGCAGAACATCCGCGGAAGATGAACATCGCGAAGAACGCGATTCACAATGCGATACACATCGCTCACCGAAGATAACGTGAAAAAAGTCTTATATTGGCAGATCCAAGAGTAAAAATGAAGCATGTAGCTGAGGTCACAGGGATCTCATATGATAATATTTAAAGAATCCTTGCGAACAAATGCCATGTGAAAAAGGTCTCTGCGCGTTGGGTATCGAGAATGTTAATCGACGAGCAAAAGGAAAAAATGAGTCAACATTTCGAGGGTGAATCTCAAAAGGTTCCAAGCACATCCGGAAAGTTGTTTGTCATGTTTCGTGTCCATGGACGAGACCTGGATCCATCACTTTGATCTGTAATCCGAACGACAATCGATGAAACGAGCCTCCTCACCGACGCCGTAGAAATTCCAAGTGTCAAGTTCGGCGGGAAAGGTTATGGCGCCCATTTTTTGGATGTTGACGGAATAATTATGGTGGAATATTTAGGAATGGGAGCCACTATTTAGGGTTCTTACTACGCATGCCAAATAAAAAGATTGTGGGAGCTACTAAAGAAAAAAAAAACGCGGCAAGCTGGAGTGCTGTTTCATCAAAACAACGCTCCGGCTCACAAAGCCCTAGTTGCGATGGCTGACATTTAAGGAACGGGATATAAACTGCTCGAACATTCGCCCTATTCGCCAGATCTAGCTCCCAGTGATTTCTATCTATTTCTTGGACTTAAGGAAAACCTTCAGGGTAAGAAATTAGGAGATGAAAGCGAAGTGATGGACGCTATTGAGGCTTTATAACGACTTTATAAGGAGGGTTAAGATAACGATTTTTTTTCTAAGGAAATTTTGGGTTGTGATTGACTTGAGGAGACTATGTAGGGAAATAAATAATTTTTTAACTATAATTACCGTGTTCAATATTCATTATCATTACTTTTGGATCACACTAACATCCCAACATACAAACAAACCTACATATATAAACTTTCCAGAATACAAACTGTTGTTATACGAGTTTGTCATTTTAGATTGATATATTCTGTTAACTTCATTTTATTTCTAGGAATAATAGATAAATTCTTGCTGTATCTAGCATTTTACTCCCACCCTTAGACAACAAATTTTATGGCCCGATCGAAGCTAGATGGAGCTTAATGCTCTATTTTAGTCAAAACGAGGCCTATACAGAATGCTTGATGTATGGTCGCGCGTTATTCTACTTATGTGTATCGCGCATTACCCACACCAAGTACAATATCATCTGCAAGCTAAGAATAACAGTTCTTCATTTAAATCTTCTAATCAAATTTATTCTCGCTAAAAATATCTGAAAATTAGTTATCGATTACTCGATAACTCTAGTTCTTAGCCTTCCTCTTTAGTATAGTGAACGTGACTAATGATCTTGAGTTGAATCAGTTATTAGAGTTTTTCTTACAAAAAAATTTCAGTAGCAATCCGCAGTCAGTCAGGTGTTACACCTCCATATCTCGGAAAGCACGTATAGCCGTTGTTAGTTCTGCACCTGATCTCTCTCCGATTGCGTCGTATTACCGTACCATCGGAATATTATGCGAGTGGGGGTATAGAGAGTGCACCTGTGACTATAATATACAATGTGTTAATTTTACACTTGATCAAACGAAATGTGCGGATACTAGATAAAAAATTATCGGTAAAAAATCGAAAAAATTTTTTTTTATGTAAACTGTTTAAAAAATAAAAGCATTTGAATTTAGTTTTTGTTAAAATTCCCATCCTTCGGTTTTAAATTATTTTCTCTTTAAGTAAACGGTGTATTTTTTTCAAAGTAGTTTTATTTGAAAGTTAGAAAGATTAACTAGCAATAAAAATTAAAAAAACCTACGATATCAAGCAGGAAATTTGTCAAAAAAATAATAAGATAATTTTTTTTGTTAAAAAAATACTTTTCTTTTTAATTTTTGGTCTGTAACTTCAAAACTAGTACGTTGAGATAACCTTTTTAGCATGTTTTATTAAACTTCGTAGCTTACTGTATAAGTTCTCTAAAATAACATGCGTTCTATCTTTTTTCGTTGTTAAGATAATCACTAAAAATAAGGTAGGTAATCTGAGCACAAAATTCAAAAGTGATTTAATAATGATTTAATTTATTAAATTTTCAAAATGACCACCATTTTTATCCATACATACAGTTGTACGTAATGCCACACTGCGTACTGTTTTTTTTTAATACAGTACGATTTTCTTTTATTTGACTAGCCGCAGCCATTACTTTTTGTAACAATTCTTCTCTTGTACTAATTGGAGTACTGTACACAATCTGTTTCATGTGGCCCCACAAAAAAAAATCTAGGGGGGTCATATCAGGGCTTCGTGCCGGCCACGCTACTGGTCCGCCTCGTCCAATCCATCTGTCTCCGTATAGTTCGTTTAAATAATCACGCACGATGGTGCTGAAGTGAGCTGGAGCGCCGTCATGCTGAAACCACATCTTCCTCTTTGTTTGTAGATCCACATCACTCATCAGGTCAGGTAACTCTTCTTGTAGAAATGTTAGGTAAGCTGGGCCTGTCAACCTTGACGGAAGAATAAATGGTCCGATTAAGTAATCACTTATCATTCCAGCCCAAACATTAATCGAAAATTCGATTTGAAAGGACGCTGGCCGAACTGCTAAGGGATTATTTTCCTCCGGCATCCACAAGTGAAGGTTTCGAAAATTTGTGATTCCAGTTCTGTTAAAATTTGCCTCATCGGTCCACAAAATACGGTCACAGAATTTCGGGACTAATCGTCTTTGCCGCAATAGCCACGAACAGAAAACACTTCTTCCGACGTAATCTGGCTCGTGCAAATTCTGCACTCTTCGAAAATGAAAAGGGTACAAACATTCCTTTTTTCAAAATTTTCCACACTTGGACGTGATTAATCCCCAATTGGAGTGCTATTCGTCGAGTACTAATTGTGGGGTCTTGGTACACCAAACGCAACACTTGTTCATCCACATCTACCGGTACAGTAGAAGCACGTTCACGATGTGGGCGATGCAGTCCATTTTCACTTAATTCTCGATGTACTGCTAAGAAAACCCTGTAGTCAACGGCAGGTCTTGTCGGGAATCGCTGATGATACTCTCGAGAGGCGGCGCGAGCGTTGCCATCACAAAACCCGTAAATGTAATGAATGTCAGCTACTTCACGAGCAGACAATGAGTCTATCGTAGAAGGCATAACGACGAAAAAAATGGTGAGCGTATTCAACGTGCAAATTAGGTAACGTTACAAGATGAACTGTTTAAAATAGCTAAAGCTGCCTGCATGCCTTACGAGAACGAGACCCAAATTTCATTCAAACGACAATTCACTCTCTCACTCACTTGTTTCGCCTTTCATTGATCTATCTCTTTTTATCTTTACCTGCTATTGTTCGACCAGGGGTGTTCAAATTAGAGGTAGGTGGGGCGCATAAGCGCAAATCAACATACCGATGGCATTCTTTGATGATTATTATTTTAAAAATGAAAAGAGATAGAACGCATGTTATTTTGGAGAACTTGTACAATAAGCTACGTAGTTTAATAAAACATGCTAAAAAGGTTATCTCAATGTACTAGTTTTGAAGTTACAGACCAAAAATTAAAAAGAAAAGTATTTTTTTAACAAAAAAAATTATATTATTATTTTTTTGACAAATTTCCTGCTTGATATCGTAGGTTTTTTTAATTTTTGTTGCTAGTTAATCTTTCTAACTTCCAAATAAAACTACTTTGAAAAAAATACACCGTTTACTTAAAGAGAAAATAATTTAAAACCGAAGGATGGGAATTTTAACAAAAAAAAAAATTCAAATGCTTTTATTTTTTAAACAGTTTACATAAAAAAAAATTTTTTCGATTTTTTACCGATAATTTTTTATCTAGTATCCGCACATTTCGTTTGATCAAGTGTAAAATTAACACATTGTATACACTCTGGCATTATAATCCTGTCCAGCGCAGATGGCTAGTCCCCATTGAGATTGGCCATATTGGCCGCTGTGATCAAAATCGGAGGACGTTATTACGCAATTCAAAGATACAATTTTTTAAGTTAAATTGACATCCCTTGCAGTTCTAAGATTTTTCAACAAATCAACTAGTTCTAAGTATAGTGAATGAATATTTTTTGTAACAGATGCAAAAGAAGGCGAAGAACCTCGCGCATGTGGCTATCGCGAAGAAGACGAAGAAGATGGGTCTGAAGGGAGAAGCCGATCGCTTTATCGGCACCAAGAAACCCAAGCACCTGTTCGCCGGCAAACGTGGCATTGGCAAGACAGACAGGCGATAACTACATCATACATACATTATATGTATTGTTTGCTGTGCTGTATATTATATTACAAGATTTGTAATTTATATCTAAATAAAGACAGTCAAAAAGTATAAAGTGTAATTTGTTCAACTGTAAAACCTATTGTTGTATCCATTGTTAAACATTATAGAAGTTGAAAAACCTTCCACTTTTAAGCCATACTGCAGCTTGTGCTATGGTTGTGGCACGAATGGGTCGACTTGACCACAATAGGACCACACTCACAGAATGCTAGTGTAAAATGTTGTATTTTGTGAGTGTAGAGAATGGGGGACCGTTTTTACTGGAAATGAGACAATCTTTCTTAGCCCTCAGGGGTGGCAACGCATCTGCATTTTGATTCTTAAGTGAGTATAGCAGTAGATACTTCTATGGGCCGTAGTTTCCACTAACCAACAGGTGGAAAATTTAACCAATTTTTCTTGGCTAATGCTAGTGATATGCTTCTACTGGACATGTACATATCCTGTTGTAGGGGGGGATTTTTCGTAATCGCCACACTGCAATGTGCAATTTATGTATGTAAACTGCCTTGATCAGTAGTATCAATGGATATTCCCCAGAGCTCGATTCTTGGCCCATTCCTCTTAGTCTATATTAATGACTTTCTTGTAGGGGACAATCACGATATAGTATTATATGCTGATGAAACCTCTTTAATTTTCAAACTCAAATGGCAGTCAATTAATAATGACGATGTAAATAATGCTCCATCAAAATTAGTACATTGGTTAAACGCCAACAATTTGCACTTAGACAAAATGTAATAAATTTACAATACCTAGTGTTAAACATTCAAATACCAATGTGCTCTTAAATGTTGGGCTTCTGCAATTGTATGGATTGACAATAGCATTACCAGATGTGAGCACCCTTCACTCTGCTTTCGATGCCGGTCTGATTATTCTAAATCTGAAGAAATTGAGATGATTACACCGCCATCTGTCACAAGACTTCTGGAGTTTCTCATAGTATTTTACATAGGGTTAATGGATTCACTACACATCACCACCACTTATATTTTTTTTCAGTTTGCTTATTACTTTGGCGTCCTATATAGAAACAACATATGTTCAAACAGATTCTTATTTATTTAGGACGATAAAAACATTTTTTAATTTTTGTATACAGCAAAATTGTGATGATGACATTTAATATTACTCCCTTTTTAAATCATTTTTTTCTATATTAACTAAAGCAGTGGTATCCGTGTTAACTGAACGTAGCGAACTTGGTCTCCCTTTGCCTTTATTTTGTAAAATCTTATTTTTCCATTCAAGCATTTCATTTGCTTCTAAATGTTTGATAATTTCACCTGTAGATGGATTGATTGGAAAAACTCCTTCAGGGGTGTGTTTCTTTTTCGCCATATCTAATCCATGTCGCCGTTTCATGTGTTTGTTATAATTGGGCCAATTCGCAAAATCTCTTTTGCATTTGTCACAGGTATATGGTTTTACTCCAGTGTGTTGACGTATATGTTGATTTAATATAGATTTAAAGCGAAATTTTTTATTACAATAACTGCAAACGTAGGGTAAAGAGTCTGTGTGTATTATCTTATGCGAGTTAAGTTGTCTTAGTAAACGGAAGCTACGCCCGCACTCATCACATGTGTGGGGCCTCTCAGCATTGTGACTGCCAACATGAGATTTAAGCTGTTTAGAAGTTTTAAAACTCCACTTACATATTTCACATTGGTACGGTCTCACATTATCATGTATTAGCATATGGGCGGCTAGAGTTTGCTTGCTAAAAAAACACTTTCCACATTTCTCACAAGTGTTTTCTCGCTTTCTCTCTGTGTGTATTAGTAAGTGTGTATTTAATGTTCCCATTGATTTGAATGTCTTTTTGCAAATAATACAAGTCAAACTGTTAATAGATTTAAGTGAATCTGGTATGTTCCTCAAGCGTCTATCTTTGTAAAAAGTATGGGTGTGTTCATTTAGGTCATCTAAATTTTGGAATTCAGCATTACAACCTAAGCAGAAATGTTTTGTTTTTGGCCCATGTTCATTCTTAATATGCGAATGTAACTGGTGCTGAAATATAAATTCATTGTTGCATATATAGCATAATGACTTGAGATATTTTCTATGCCATTTAATGTGTACTATAAATTTATTCAAGTGAAGTGTTCTTAACTTACAGTCGTTGCATCTAAATGCATTACAGCACTGATGATATTGCATGGAATGAACTTTTAATTCCTCTACAGTGGCAAACTGTGTTTCACAATATGCACAAGTCCAAAGATAATCACTCCAAGTTGATTTTATACATTTCAAAGGAGGAAGAATATCCAAAATTAGTTCATTATTGTTGACATTGCTCGTGCAAGGTTTTTTGCAGTTTTTAGAGTCCACTGATTGATACAAACAGTTGTAGGATTGAGAATCAAATTCTTCTTTCATATATATGCTGCTATCTGATTTGCTATCTACCATATCATTTTGTTGATCGTCTTCTGAAGAACAATGTTCCTTTTTTAATTCATTATTAACTATATTAGATAAAACACTCTGGGCTCTGTCTACTCTAACTACAAATTCATAGGCTATGTTAAGATTTTCTATACATGAAAAGCATATAGTTTTTGGTTGGTCGGGATCAGGATTAGTGAAATCGTCATACATAATATTCAAACGAGATAATTTCTCAATTATTTTGTGCGATTTTGCTTCGTCGCTTTGAAAGTTAATCATATTTGTGAAGGATTTTAGTTCTGCGCACAATCGACAATATGACGTATTCTCACTTTCCATTTTCATTCGCAAATCACTACAGAATAACAGTATATTTACGAGATTTCAAAAACCATTTATTTTAACAAGTACATAACAAATATTGTACGAATTAAAAATAAACTTAAAACCTAAATGTAAAACGTAAATAAATAATCCTGAATAGCATAGCAGTATTGCCAACAGTTAAACCACAGACTAACTAATAGAAGTTAAATTAACTCCCCACCGCATTCAAATTCTAAATCCATCAGAAAACCACTAAAAAAAGCGATCTCTAAATTTTTCACTGAACAATTTTTTGTTTATAACGAAATGATAGGTTTAGGATTATATAGGAATTGGTTTACCCTTATTATTACATACTGTTTAACAAAACATTAAATTTCTTTGAAAGTAACCAATTAATTAAAATACAATTAAATCAAGAAGTCTAAAAAATATAAGAGGGATCCGTAGTGCAGTGGAAGTTCCAGCGTTGAGGACCGCGTGTTTGAATCCCGCACGGGACAATTTATGGCCTACAAATAATTGGATCCATTTTCTTTTTATAGTATAAGGATGACAAACGAGCACACAGTCCACCTGGTGGTAAGTGGTTGCTGCGGCCCATAGACATCTACATCTATCTTCGTTTGCGAATTAAAATGCGGATGCGTTGTCAGCCGTGAGGACTAAGATAGAATGCAGTATTTTCCAGTAAAAAGGGTCTCTGGTTCTCTACACTCACTATACGAAACAAGCAGCATTAAGCTGCTATTTTACGTTGGTATTCTGTGAGAGCGTGGTCCTTCCCCGGTCGAGCCGACTCATTCGTGCTACAACTATACCATTAATATAGCTGCACGTATACGCAAACATTTACGCAAACAGGAACCGACCCACAGCAGATTGATTTCGAGAAAATGCGACTTTTGTAAAAAGAGTGTGCAAAACTGATATACAGTAATCTGTGGTGCAAAATGTATATGTAGCATATTAAAAAATAAATATTTACTAAACTTATGCGGGACCTCGAAGCCCTTCTAGGAATACATACCTAATTCATTAATTTTATACGATTTTACTATAAGTAATAATTAAAAAAACGGATAGGGTAAAACACCCAGTAGTCAGCCTTTTAGTGAGGACTAAAATTTGATTCAACTGTATTTTAAATATTAAACATTATGAATAAAAACAATCATTATCCCCAGTAACGTTGTTTATGAAATTTACTAAAGAAATTAACAAAACATTATATTTATAATAGAATTATATAAAAAATCAACATTAAACAAATTATGGCACTTTTCACCAGTAGTCAGCCTCTCACTTATTCTTACATATTTGGCATGGAAATTCTTTATTATGTATATTTCCAAATATCATCACCATCATCATCATCATTACAGCCCTTCACAGGTCCACTGCTGAACATAGGCCTTCCCCAAGGAATGCCACAGAGCACGGTCCCGAGCCACCTGATCCATTGGCTTCCTGCATGTCTTACCAAATCGTCACACCATCTAGTAGGGGGACGCCCTACACTTAGCCTGCCGGCATGAGGCTGCCACTCGAGAACCTTTTTTCCCCATCGGTTGTCGGTTCTTTGAGCTATGTGGCCGACCCATTGCCTCTTCAGCTTACGAATCCTTTGGGCTAAGTCGATTACTCTGGTTCTACTGCGGATATCCTCGTTTTTAAGTCTATCACGCAGAAAAACGCCGAGCATAGTCCTCTTCATAGCTCGCCGAGCGAATTTGAGCTTCCTCATACGGCCAGCAGTGAAGGACCACGACTCAGATCCATAGGTCATCACTGGCAACACGCACTGGTTGTACAATCTAGTTTTGAGGTTTTGAGGTATGTCTGACGAGAATAATCTCCCGGACGCTGCTCAGCAGAGTTAAATCCGTCGATTGATCTCTCGGTCGAAGTTGGACTTCGATTTGCCGATGATATAGTCCTTATGGCAGAATCGCTGGAGGACCTAAACACTATGCTCAATGACCTCAATAGTGTTTCCCAACGGATAGATTTTAAGATTATAAGATGAACATGGACAAAACAAAGATCATGTATAACGTCCATGTCACACCTATGCCAGTAGTTGTTGGGAGCACTAAGCACGAAGTTGTTGACGAATATGTTTATCTGGGACAAATCTTCCTCCTTTTGCTATTTTTGGAATTCAACAGCTTTTCCGCTTTCCTTTTTTAAATTCTTCTTTCTTTTTTGACTTTGTTCTTCTTTCTTTATTTTAGCTTCAAATCTCTAAATTTTTTAAATCAATATATCGTTCTTTTTCTGTTCCTTCATTTCTTCTTTTTGTTTCTGAAATTGTCTCCATTCTTTGGAAGAAATAGCTCCTATTCTTTTCATCCCGTTCTAATCGCCGCCATAGCTTGTGTTAATTGCTCTTCTTTATATTGATGGACGGATTTTTGACATGATAGAATTCTAAAACAAATTATTTTCAAGCTAAAATAACCGTGTATATGTAGATTTAACCCTTATTGGAAAGGCTTTAAGGTAATATTTTGTGCAAGGACTACTGGATTTGTAGACCCATTGGTCGGCCCCTGACATGCTATTACATTTGTACGCGGCTGACTACTGGTAAAATACACTTTTCGCCTTATAAGAGTTAAACCCAAAGTAATGAGCAAAATTGGTACTATTCGTTCTGTTAATTTCTACTACATATAAGAAATTCACGAAAAAACCAGTAGTCAGCCACTTATGGCTGAGTACTGGATCTACCCTAAAAATTCGAAACCCTCTAGTCGGCCACCTAAATTACAACATATTAAACAAATAAAAGGCGTGTAATAGTTAATTTTATCACAAAATAAACTATTTATTGTAACACAGTATAAAAATCCACCACAAATTTCAACAAATACACACAAAATTTTACCGAAAACTCGAGCACGTTTCCTTAAGAAAATAATTGCATGTAGTCATGTCTTTGGCAGTAGTGCAAATCACAGAACACTAATACCCTTAGGGTGCAAATTAAATGAATGTAGCTCGTCAACCTGACATGATATTGGTTCGTAGGTGTGCGTATTAGTCAATAAGGAAACACAGATTCAATTAAACGTTATTTTAAAGGTGTAAACATATTTCAACACTATTTATATAGAAATAATGTCTGTAAAGGCTGAGTACTGGTGCGGGGTTGACTATTGGGTGTTTTACCATAGGTTCTTTCTGGCAAAAAGCAAATTTGTGGCTTGGTTCCTTTTCAAATTGAATGTGGGTTTCAATTTCAATACTATTTTTAAAAATAAAAAGTTTTCTTTACTTACTTCCATGCTTTATTATCTTTATAAATATCTTTATTATCTTTATTATTATCTTTATTATTATTATCTTTATAAAAGAAAGATCGAAGTGGAGTGTATGTGTATTTACACGTTCCTCTCTTTGATATCGCTCCAGGCGGCCGATGTTAATGTTACCTACGGTTAAGGTAAGCAACAGACAGAAGTGGCCGTTCAATTAAAAATGCGAAGAAGTGGTAGCAACAAGGTCCGATGCATCGGATGAAAGAGGAATAAGAGGACGGTACTGCTACTTGAGTAAGGTAGGTAGCCAGCTCTTCACAAGTGTAATATTTTATTTGTAATAATCTTTTTGAGTGATGCCTGGTTGATCTAACAGCAGCCTCAGCACTGCCGTTAAAATGTGGGGAATAGGGAGGCACAAAAGAAAATTTGGTGCCTTCCTGTGCAATTTCAGAAGAGAGCCTTTTACTTTGTAGAAACTGCTGAAACTCATTATAGGCACCCACGAAAGAGGTACGATTATCTGATAATTTGGTTTGTGTTTTACCACAACGTGGCCTAAACGTAGTGGATTTAAAGTGGCCATATATCCTTCCTTCCGTAACGAGCTCATGTGTTTCTCCGTAACGAGCTCATGTGTGTCTATACCGTCTTTGGTGGTTGCGGCTAGACTCACTAAGCATTTTATCTCTAAATAGGGAGCAGAGGCAGTCCCGTAAGTAACAGTGATGAGTTTATATGTTTTTAAAGGTAACGATGGATGCAGGTGGCTCAGGACCGTGTTTTGTGGCATTCTTTGGGGGAGGCCTATGTTCAGCAGTGGACTTGTGAAGGGCTGTAATGATGATGATGATGATGAAAGGTAACTTACTTGACTTGACTTAACTTACGGCGTTGAGCCGATGTCACATTACTCGTAATTGCTCTATATATCTTTTCTATGTCTCCAGAGATGACGTATTTGTGCTATCAAAATCATAGTAAGTTAGACAATAGATCACTGACAGATGGATAGTAGCACCTATCACTTCGGTATTCAGACTATCAATTAAACAATTGATAGTCCGGAGGATGTTGTTGATGTCCAAAGCTGATGCATCGAAGACTATGCGAAGTTTATCCAGAGTACTGGATTCTCTAACGACACCATGATGAGGTAAAAAATATTCAATACTAGCGATCCGCGCCGGTTTTGCGCGGTTGATTTTTGGATCTCGACAACAACGCTAACAACAGTTCCAAATCAAACGGGACTTATTCAAACACACACAAAAATTTTCATCAAAATCGGTCGAGACGTTTTTGAGTTTTAGTTTTTGTACTGTTATTTATTCTGTGGTTTTAGCGAGACACTGTCCGTTAATGTCCGTTGTACAGCGATTATAGTTATATAAAGAAAATTACTACGTGAGTGGGGGATTCTTCAATAGCAGTACATTGCTTTGCTGTTTGAAAGCAATGTATTGCTCTTTGAAAACACGATCACTTTGAAAGCGACGCCTAATGATAAAAAATCGACCAAATGCGATTCGGACTCGCGCATGAAGCGTTCCGTACCATCGTACAAGATTTAATACTATGCATGCAAAAATAACCGGCCAAGTGCAAGTCGGACTCGCGCTTGAAGGGTTCGGTACCATAGTAAAACACGTTTCTAGTAGGGAAGCCCTATTTAATTTTTCATTTATTTTTATTATTTGATGTTATAGCGGCAACAGAAATACACATTCTGTTATTTATACGGTC